CCTGGGAAAAAAAAAAAAAAGATCTTGAGCCCAAGTGATAAAAGCGTAACACCAAGAATGGTCAAATGTGCCAGGTGTGAAAACAAAGAAAAACACTTATCCTAAAATAACATTGACTCAAAACTTAAGTAAGGAGGTCAGGTCTGGCCAGTGCCATATTGGCACATGGCGGATTGTAGGGTCTGGCATCTTGTTTTCATGCTGGGAGAAGGAACCCCCTCTTCCCCAATCACCTGCCTCCCAGGTAAAGGGTGTGCCCAGACCCCTGGAGGCAGAGGCAGGCACTTGGCTGATAGGTTACTGAATCTGTCAGTCCGGTGCCTGGGACTGGGAATTTCCTGGGTATCTACCCCCTGTGCCAACCTATTTAGGCCCAGACCAGCCTAGCCATCAGAGGATGCCACATATGTCTCCAGGATCGTGTCTTGTGGCCTCCTGGCTTGTCTCCAGTCATCATGGCGTCCTAATTCAGCTCTCCATTGGAGCTGAATTGGCTTGTTGGTATTGTTTTTGCTATTTCTTTCCTCTTTAGCATGTTTTCTAGCAGTGTTATGTGTATTTGCGTGCTGCAGGCCTTTGTAACAACTGGTGGCCTGCAGCCTGGTCACTGCATAATAAAGACTCCAATATTCTATATTTTAAAATATAGCTTCTGGGATGATTCACCTTACAACAAAATCTTAGCTTTTATCATATATACTCATGATGTCAAAGAGCTCAGTGTGTCTCCCTTTGAGCCCCTACTCTGTTAGAGCCTGCCTCTGTCTTTCTGCTTGCTTGCTTACTCAATTAAACTCTGCTAAGCTTTCTTACCATTGTGTTTTGTCCTGAAATCCTTCTGTGATTGAAGTCAAGGACCTGGGACTAAAATGCCAAGTGAAGGGTCCCTACTTCCAAAGGGAAACATCACAAACCCTCACTTAGAACCAATGACTTTTTTTTTTTGGGGTCCAGTTGTGGGGCCTGACCTCTGGGCCTGGGCGCTGTCCCTCAGCTCTTCAGCTCAAGGGTAGCACTCTATCACTTGAGCCACAGCGCCACTTTCGGCTTTTTTCTTTTTCTTTTTGGTCCGGTCGTGGGCCTGAACTCTGGGCCTGGGCGCTGTCCCTCAGCTCTTCAGCTCAAGGCTAGTGCTCTACCACTTGAGCCACAGTGCCACTTCTGGCGTTTTTCTTTTTGCTTATGTGGTGCTGAGGAATTGAACCCAGGGCCTCATGCATGCAAGGCAAGCGCTCTACCACTGAGCCACCTTCCCAACCCTGAACCAATGACTTCTTGAGTATAGCCCATGCAGTCATTTAAATCTCTGATCTCTTGTCCCTGCCTCTGGAGTACTGAGATTATAACTGTGTACCACCATACCTGGCTGACTCACTGTTATTGAAAAACAGAAGGCTCTGAGTTGTTTAAAAGCTGACAAAGGGAGGGTTAGGGCTACATTTGGAAGGGTGCAAGCAGATGACTATGAATCCCTCCTCCAAGACTTTTTTTTTTGGCCAGCCCTGGGGCTTGAACTCAGGACCTGGGCACCGTCTCTGTGCTTCTTTTGCTCAAGGCTAGCACTCTTAACTTTAGCCCCAGCACCACCTTTGGCTTTTCTGTGTATGTGGTACTGAGGAATTGAACCCAGGGCTTCATGTGAGGCAAGCATGCAACCAATAATCCACATTCCCAGTCGCTAAGACTCTTCTTTATCTGAAAAACTAGGAGAAAAATGAGTAAAACAAACCCTTGCCCTGATACAATATAAATACTAATCAGTACAGGAAGATATAGAACACAGTTAATGTTCTATAGAAAGAGGACTAAAGCAGGGTAAGGAACAGGATTGGGTTAAGAAACTTTATTTAAGACAAATTCGATGGTCTAGCTACAATTTTTCTGGCCACCCTAGAAAATAACAGGGTTTTACAACTCTTTTACTTTTTGTTGTTCTTCAGGTACTTGGTCTGGAACTCAAAGTCTTTAGTTCTTTCTAGCTTTTCTTTTCTTTTCTTTCTTTCTTCCTTCCCCCTCCCCCCCCCCCCCCCCCATTTTCTTTCTTTTTGTCTTGAGGCTTGAACTTTGGGCCTGGGCACTGTCCCTTAGCTCTTTAGCTCAAGGCTAGTGCTCTACCACTTGAGCCACAGTGCCGCTTCCGGTTTTCTGGTGGTTAATTGGAGATGAGTCTCATGGATTTTCCTGCCAGGCTGTCTTTGATCTGAGATCCTCAGACCTCAGTCTTCTGAGTAGCTAGGATTACAGGTGTGAGCCACTGGTGCCTGACTCTTTTTCTTGGCTTTCTTGCTCAAACCTTGCACACTTCAACTTGAGTCACACCTCTATCCTAGACTGCCTTACTGAATGGACGGACTGCCTGTCTTCCTTCCTTCCCTTTATTATTTTTTCTTTTTCTCCTTCCTTCCCTCTCTCCCTCCCTTTCTCCCTCCTTCACTTCCTTACTACCTTTTTTTTTTTTTTTTTTTTTTGGTGTTGGTCCTGGCACTTGAATTTAGGGCTTGGCTGTGGTCCCTGAGACTCTTCGGCTCAAGTCTAGTTTTATCATTATCTAGTCTAGCTTTATCATTTAAGCCACTGATCTACTTCCAGCCTTTTACTGTTTATTTGGAGATAAGAGTCTCACAGATTTTCCTGTCCAGACTGCCTTCAAACCTTGCTCCTACAGTTACTTTTGAACACCTATTATGACTGAGACCTAAACATGACAGTCTTATCTACATCTTTCATTCACTCTCTGTTCTTTGGAGACAGAGTATTGCTGTGTAGTCCAAGCTGGCCTTGAAATTGGCTTCCCCTGTGTTGTAATAACAGGCTTCTGTTACCACATCCAGATTTACCCATTGTCTAATAACGTGTGTGTGTGTGTGTGTGTGTGTGTGTGTGTATACACTACTACTGGGTAGGCCTTGAACTCAGGACCTAAGTGCTATCCCTCAGCTTTTTCCCCTCAAGGTTGGTGTTTGAGCTACATCTCCACTTCCAGATTTTTTTCTTTTTCTTTTTTTGTTAGATAAGTGTTTCAGACTTTCCTGCCTAGGCTGGCTTTGTACTATTATCCTTAGATGTCAGTCTCTCGAGTAGCTAGGATTACAGGTGTGAGCCACCAATGCTGAGATATTTTTCTTTTCCTTTTTCCTTCTCGGCACTGGGTATCAACTCAGGGCTTTGTGATAACTAGGCAGGTGCTCTACCATTTGGTACTGGGGATTGAACCCAGGATGTTGCATTTGCTAGGCAAGTGTTTTGCCACTGAGCTACATCCCAGTTCCTCTAATCAATTTCTCTTTGTTTTAAAAAACATGTTCTTTCAAAGCCCAGATAATGTGTGAATTTGCCTTCAAATCTTAAAAAAACGTGTTAGGCTGCACTTAGAACATCCTCGGCCATACAGCCTTTATATTTCAACCAGACATATGTGTTTACCATTATAAGAATCTAATTAATTTCCAGTCTAGCACCAGTGGCTTATGCCTGCAATACTAGCTATTCAGGAGGGTGAGATCTGAATGTTGAGTGGAAGTCAGCCTGAGCAGGAAAGTCCAGTGAGACTCTTATCCCCAATTAATCAGCAAAATAAAGCCAGAAAGGGCAGTGTGGCCCAGGTGGTAGAATGTAAGTCTTGAGCCAAAAAAACTAAAAGACAATGTCCAGGCCAGTATTGGTAGATATGTGAGTTGGGCTTGCCTAGCACAAGGCCCGGCATTCAATTTCTTTCTTTTGTTTTTGGTCATGGGGCTTGAACTCTGGGGGCAGGGAGCTGTCCCTCAGCATTCAGCTCAAGGCTAGGGCTATACCACTTGAGCTATAGCACTACTTCCGGCTTCTTTCTGCTTATGTGGTGCTGAGGATTTGAACCCAGGTCCTCAAGCACTCTACCACTGAGCCACCTCCCCCCCCTCCCCCCCCCCCTCCCGCATTCAATTTCCGCATTGCAAAAACAAAATAACAACATACCAAGTACTGAGTGCTTGACTTAGTGGACATTTTTGTAAATGCATACCGTACAGGTAGGAGCCCCCAAAAAAAAAAAACACTGTCCAGGCTTCCAGGCTAATGATTGTATTGTGTGAGGGGTGGGGACTCATCTGGGTGTGGAAATTGAGATTTCAGATTGAAAAACGAGGCTGCTTGGTTTAAAGTAGACACACTCCTGCCAGTTATGGAAAAAGCTTGGAGGTGTTTAAATGAAGAACAATATCATCATATTGAGAAATATCTGCGCGAAGGTTAACTACCAGTTCCCAGGATGAAGCCCTAGGTCAACTCCGACTCAGGAAGCAACACAGAGCCTAGAAGAATGCAAATCCTCTGGGTGGGGGTGGGGTTGGGAGAACTCTGTAAATCTAAAGAATCACATGGTGGAAGGGTTGGGCCCAGCCTCTGCAGAAATCTGCACTTTAATGGGGCCTATTTTTCAGGTCTTTGTTATGTACTGCTTGAGACCCACGAACCCCAGCCTTCGCCCTCGTTTTCCACGGGACGTCCGATTTCTCTAAAGGAGGAAACTGAGGTTTAGAAAGATGAGCTTGCTGTGGTCCCTCGGAAACCTGGACCTGCCTAAGACGTCGCTCTCGGCAGCCATCCCGAAGGAGCTAGAGCATTTGCATGCTTAAAGCCTGGGGTTGGAGGGCCCCAGCCCCTCAAAAACAAGCCCGGAAACCGTCTTTCACTCTCTGGGCCCCACACACCCCAAGGAAGCCCCGAACTCGGGAGTGGGCAAACTTAGCCTGAAGGCTAACTTTTCAATGGGCCCACTCTGCTGTCGAATCTGAAATCCTTTACCTGAGGCCGAACGCCCCCACCTCGCCCTCAAAGGAACCCGAGGGGCAGGGTGGGGCCAGAGGCCCGGGGCTGGCAGTGGGAGGCGGTCGACGTCCGCAGCGCACCGCGCGGCCTGTAGGATTGGCTCGAGCCTCTCCCGCCAGGCCTGCCGGACTCCCGCGCGCTGCAGGCCCCGCCCCCGCCGCCATCTTGGCCCTGGCGGGAGCAGGCCGCACGCGTGAGTAAACAGTGCTTGCTGGGAAAAGGCGAGCGGCGGCTGCATCCGGGTCCCGCGGGGCTGCAGCCGAGAGAACCCGGTCCCATTCGCCCGCCGTGGGGGTAAGTAATCCTGCATGCGCCAGTAGGCCGGGCCCCCACCTATCATCCCCCCCCCCCCCCCCCGCTCGGCGTGGCGCTACCTCTGACCTTCCGCGGCGCGCGCGGCCCCGCTCCCCGGGCTCCCGCCCCCTCCCCTCCGTTCCCTGCGTGGAAAGCTGCCCGAAAGTGGTGGCGGGAGGGGGGGGGGCGCCCGCGTGCGAGAGAGGCCGCGCGCCGCCGGGGCGCAGCTCGGAGCTGGAGCTCGCGCGCCCCGGGCTGCAAGGTGGGGACGCCGCGGCTGGAGCGTGTGTGGGGGGGGGGAGATCCGGGCGGGCAGTGCAGGTGTCGGGGACGGGAACCCTCCGCGGGGCCGGAGGGTCGGTCACTGGCATTTCTTCCCCCCCGGCCGGGATCGCAGGGAAGCCGACATGACGACCCCGAGACCCAGCCCCCTCGCGCCGCTCCTGGAGACGCTGGAGGACCCTTCCGCCTCCTCCGGAGCGCAGACCGACGCGTACCTGACCCTGACCAGGTGAGGCCGGCCGCGGGGCCGCGTCCCGCCCGGGCATTTCCACGGGGGCGTGGGGTGTTGCTTTCAAGTCTGGCGGGGTGGAGAGAGGACGCGGGGATGGCGGGCGCGTTGTGGGGGTGCAGTCAGTGACGTGCCCGCTGTGCCTCCCCCGCCTCGGGCCGGAGGGAAGGAGCCCCCGGGCCCTAAACCCCAGGAATTTAAAGTTCCAGCTGCAGGGAGTTGGGAGGGCAGGCGTCTTCCGTGTCGATTTCCCCGATGGAGGAGGGAAATAGCAATTCGGGCTTTTGGTGTGGTTTTGGGGGTTGATCGTTTTCGGAATGGTAGTAAAGAGTTAAAAAAATTTAAAATGAATAAATTTGTCCAGAGATTCCCGTCCCGCCTTCACAGGTTGAGACTGTCAAAACTGAGTGTGTTGTGGAGGCTAAAGTCCTTTCAGGGCGTGCACTTTTGTGTGATCTATCCTTAAGTACCTTAAGGACTGGCTGGGTGGATTCGTTTTAGAGAGTTGATACCCTTAAGGGTATCCAGATACTTGGTGGCAGCAGGTACAGAACTTCTCTTTCTGCTCTAAGCCTAAGCTTGTGTTCTGTCTTTTAAGTCGTATGACTGGAGAAGATGGAAAAGAAATCATTGTACACATGGAGAAAAACCTTCCTCGGCTGTGCGAAGTTTTAAAGGTCTGTATTGTTTTTAGTTAACCACATGGGATGTTAGAACCACCCAGCTGATCAAGTCCAAAATAACTATAGTAATGACTAGATTAGTGTACTTCTTTTGTTGATTAGTTAAAATTGGTCAGGTACCCCTGATTACAGGCATTCTTCACTTTGTTTATTTTCTAATTTTTAAAAAAAGGTTTTGGCGCGTCCTGGGACTTGAACTCAGGTGATGGGCCTTGAACTCAGGGCCTAGGCACTGTCCCTGAGCTTTTTGCTCGAGGCTAGCACTCTCCCACTTGAGCCACTTTGCCACTTGCAGCTTTTTCTGAGTAGTTCATTGGAGATGAGAGTCTTAAGGACTTTTCTGCCTGGTTTGGCTTTGAACCACCATCCTCAGATCTCAGCCTCTTAAGTAGCTGGGATTATAGGCATGAGCTACTGGTGCCCAGCCTCCACTTAATTTTTTTTTTTTTTTTAATTTCACAGGGAATTTACTACTTTCCACCTCCCCCTGACGATTTCAGAATCCAGGGCTTCTACATGCTAGGCAAATATCCTGCCTGCTAGTTTCACACTAGCTGATACTCTAGTCCCTCCCCTACTTTACAGATCAAGAAATTGGTTTAATTTCCCCAAAGTCAACCATACACGCCTGAATCCAAAGCATTATAGCTGGTATTTCTTGCTTACTGTCATTGCTCTTGCTTCCTATCAACATTCTTGCTTCCTGTCAAGGCTCTACCACTTGAGCCATCCCTCCAGTCCTGTACTTTGCTAGTTAATTAGAGGTACAATCTCACATGCCTTTCTGTTCAGGCTGGCAGAACTTCCCACTTCTCTACATCCTGGAAGCTTGAGATAGCCTCAAGTGAGGAGGAAAGAGTTCTCACTTGACTATATAGGGGCTTCATGACCTCCCACCTCCTCCCCCCTTTTTTTCAATAGAGTCTTCTGGTATAATCTTTATTTCGTCTGTGCAGAGACACAGAAAAGTGACTTAAACACTCACAAAATTAGGACCAGCACTCTTAAAATTCCCAGATCTTAACGGCTTTTTTGGGAACAGACTGGTACTGGGGTACTTTGGTCCATATTCCAGGATATTTGATATTGAAGATAGATACACCATGTCAGTAGCTCATACCTGTAATCCTAGCTACTCAGGAGGTTGAGATCTGAGGATTGAGATTAGAAGCTTTCCCAGGCTGGAAGATCTGAGACTTAAATCCACTTAACCACCCAAAAGCTGAAAGTATAGAGCTGTAGCTCCTGTAGTAACTAGCCTTGGGCAAAAAAGTTCAAGGACAACACAGTTCACCCAAGATCAAGCCCCACGACCAGCATAAAAAATGTAGCTTGTGTGGTAGAGTGCCACCTTGAGCAGAGAAAGCCAAGTTAGAAGACAAGGTCCTGAGTTCAAGCCCCCATCCTTAGACAAACAAAAAGATACGGGCTGGAAAGGTGGCTCAGTGGTTGAGTGCTTGCCTTGCATTCATGAGGCCCTGGGTTCAATTCCTCAGCACCACATAAGCAGAAAAAAAAAGCTGGAAGTGACACTGGCTCAAGTGGTAGAGTGCTAGCCTTGAGGTGAAGAGCTGAGGGACAGTGCCCAGGCCCAGAGTTCAGGCCCATGACCGGAACCCCCCTCCCAACCAAAAAAAAAAAAGAATCTAAACTAAAAGATACGCACTTTTTTTTTTTTTTTTTTTGGGTCAATCAATGGGGCTTGAACTCTGGGCCTGACAACTGAGCACTGTTCCTCAGCTCAAGGCTAACACTTCACTACTTGAGCCATAGTGTCACTTCCAGTTTTCTGGTGGTTAATTGGAGATAAGAGTCTCAAGGTCACTGGGCGCTGGTGGCTCATGCCTGTAATCCTAGCTACTCAGGGAGGCTGAGATCTGAGGATCACAGTTTCTCAGGCCGGAAAGTCTGAGAGATTCTTTGTCTCGAATAAAACCGGAAGTGGCACTTTGGCTCAAGTGGTAGGACACTCTCCTTGAGCTGAAGAGCACAGGGACAGTGCCTAAGCCCAGAGTTCAAGCCCCACAACTGACCAAAAAAAAAAAAAAAAAAAAAAAAAAAAGGTCTCAAGGTCTTTCCTGCCTGAGCTGGCTTTGAACCACAATCCTCAGATCCCAGCATCCTGAGTAGCTGGGATTATAGGCATCAGCCCAGCAAAGATACAGACTTCTTTTTTTTGGGGTCTGGTCCTGCATTTAATTTTTTTTTTTTTTTTTTTTTTGGTGGTCCTGGGGCTTGGGCACTATTCCTGCGCTCTTCAGCTCAAGGTGAGGCTCTACCACTTGAGCTACAGCACCACTTCCGGTTTTCTAGTGGTTTACTGGAGATAAGAGTCTCATGGGCTTTGAACCTCGAAGCTCAGATCTCAGCCTTCTGAGTAGCTAGGATTAGGTATGAGCCACCAGTGTCCAGCTTGCATTTAATATTTAACAGCATATAGGGTCAGAAACCCTGTTTACATGCGTTTTGAGCTACGTTGTTTCTAAATAGGGTTTATATATGACTTGCCATATTAGCGAAGCTTGGTGATTTACCTCTAATCCTAGCTATTCAGGAGATGGAAAAGACCCCACCTTAGATGGGAAGGCTGGCCTGGGGTAAAAACCTGCTAAACCTATTTGAAAAATTTAAAGGCTCTAGAGTGGCCACCAGCTGGTGCTGGTGGCTCACACCTGTAATCCTAGCTACTCGGGGGACTGAGATCTGAGGATCACAGTTCAAAGCCAGCTCAGACAGGAAAGTCCATGAGACATCCAATTAGCCACCAGAAAACCAGAAGTAGTGCTGTGGCTCAAAGCAGTTGATCACTAGAGCACTGAGCTGTAGAGCTCAGAACACCACCCAGGCCCGAAGTTCTAGCCCCACGACTTTACCAAAAAAAAAAAGTGGCTACCCAGAAAGTTGGAGACCCTGAGTTCATACCCTAGTCTTGCCTAAAACTAAAAAGTAAATTATTTGGAAGCACGGAGAAGGTAAGTAACAGGACAATCAACAAAAGCAATCTATTTGAATTGAAGCACAATTCCTTCAAAATCACACTAGATTTGTTACTGTTGAGACTTCTGCTAGAATTGTCTGAGAGCACTCTTGAGGATGACCCTTGACTGTTGAGATATGAGAGGACATGAACTTAATCCTTCATTGCCCCCCCCCCCCAAAAAAAAGGACCACTGAATGACTTAAAGCAAATGTCATTAATTAACACAATCCTGTGTTGTCTCTAGAGCATAGGACCTCTTAAAGTCATAAACCATACCTGACTTAATAGAGGCTATTGAAGGTATAAATCACTTTGGAGTAGGAATTGGTACAAAAAAACAGTTCCTAAAGGTGGCATGGATTTGGGGAGGGAAAGCACAGACACTGGGATAAAGGATGAACCAATTTAAAAGTGATATTAGACACTGTGTTGGAAATGAATTATGTACAACTTCGAGGGAGAGGGAAAAGGGAGAGAATGAGGGAGGGGGTGACAATGTTCATTACCTGACTTAGGTAACTGTAACCCCTCTGTACATCACCTTTCCAGTAAAATTTGTGTGTGTGTGTACAAAGGTGGCATGAAGTTAAAGGTAAATGTTGAAAGACACTCCACCATTACACCCCTTGGGACACCTGTTTTGTATGGGTTGGGTTTTAAATTATAGGATGTTAGAGAATATCATATTCTTTGTGTCAGTACTGGGGCTTGAGAACTCAGGGTCTTAGGCTTTCTCTTGGTTGGCTCAAGGCTACTATTTCTACCACTATAACTAGGATTACAAGCACCCTGCTTTTTTCTAATATCTTTAATGTGTTGATTTTCTTGTTTTTATGTGGATTTAGATGCCCTTTATATTTAATAAAAATGTTCTTTCAGCAGATGTTTATATAATTCCCTCAACTTTTCATTGCCAAACTATTTGTACTTGGTTATCTTTCTTTTAAAACATAATTTGTAAGATTTGTTTATTTGATCAAAATGTAATGCATTTGTTTTGTGTGTAATATAGTATTCTAAAAAAAATACTCTGGGCTGGGAGTGGTAGAGCGCTTGCCTTGCATGCATGAGGTCCTGGGTTCAATTCCTCAGCACCACATAAACAAAAAGAAAAAAGCAGGAAGTGGTGCTGTGGCTCAAGTGGTAGAGCGCTAGCCTTGAACTGAAGAGCTGAGTTAAGGCCCCACGACCGGACCCAAAAAAAAAAAATACTCCGTTTTTTTTTTCTTTTTTTCAGTCAATGTAATTTCTGTTTTTGTAGGCTCACATTTCCAGTCAAAACTCAGAGCTGAGTTGTGCTGCTCTTCAGGCCTTGGGGTTTTGTTTCCATAATCCCAAAATTACCATTGGGTTATCAGGTAAGTTTGTTAAATTTTTGAAATCTAAAATATGAATAATAGACTGCTAAAAGTATTGTTATTTTGGATTAGTTTTATAACATGTAGTTTGGGACCCCTACCTCCTCTGTTTTTGGAGGCAAGGTCTGGCTATGTGGGCCAAACTGGCCTCATATCCTCTTATCTCAGCACTTGAGTACTGGATTATAGGCATATTCCATCAAACATGATTTAGGATTTATTTGAGAGGAGGTTTAGATTAATATCATCTAAACATGCTGGCTGGGACTATACAGTTCTCAGTGGTAGAACACATACTTAGCTTGGTTCATTGCCAGTCCAAAATAAATAAAATGTGGTGGCTGTAAAAAAGAAAAATATTTTTTTCTGTATAAATAGAACATAGCTGTTGTCAGTGAATACTAATTTATTGATTATTCAGGCATATGTACTAGGGAACATGCTGAACTGAAAACTTCTCACAATAAGGGATAGTTTGGGATTAGAAGCAGTAATGAAAGTGCAGAACCTGATTTTTTTTTTTTTTTTTGGTCAGTTGTGGGGCTTGGGTGCTATCCCAGCACTCTTCAGCTCAAGGCGAGTACTCTGCCGCTTGAGCCACAGCGCCACTTCCAGTTTTCTAGTGGTTTATTGGAGATAAGAGTCTCATGGGCTTTTCTACCCTGGCTGGCTTTGAACCGAGATCCTCAGATCTCAGCCTCCTTAGTAGCTAGGATTACAGGCGTGAGCCACCAGTGCCCTGCTGCAGAACCTGATTTTTAAGTTTCAAGTAATGTTCAGCAGTTTGCCATGATAAAAACATAGAGGTAATCTTTAGAGAAGACCTCAGGAATGATTAATAAAGGATATCCGAAAGTTGTTGCTGGTTTTTTTGCTGTTCTCTTAGGGTCTCAGTATATATCTCAGGCTAGATTCAAAGGTAACCTGCCTCAGCCTCCTGTGTTGGGAATACAGCTGTGCTTCACACCTATATTGTTCGTTCTTTTTTTTTTTTGTGCCTGTTCTGTGGCTTTAACTCGGGTTGTCCCTAAATTTTTTAGCTCAAGGCTAGAGCTCTACCATTTGAACCATATCTCTACTTGTGACCTTTTTGCTGTCTAGTTGGAGGTAAGGGAATCATGTACTTGGCTGCCGAGGCTTGCTTCGAACCACAGTCCTCAGATCTGAGCCCCAAGAGTAGTAGCTAGGATTACTAGGTAGTAATTACTAGTAGCTAGGTCTGAGCCATTGATGCTTGGCTTATATTGTCCTTTTTTATTTGATTTATTTTTTGCCAGTCCTGGGGCTTGAACTCAGGGCCTGGGCATTGTCCCTGAGCTCCTTTTGTGGAAAGTAGCACTCTTATCACCTGAGCCACAGCACCACTTCTGGCTTTTTCCATTTATGTGGTACTGAAGAGTTGAACCCAGGGCTTCATGCTTGCTTAGGCAAACACTACCACTAAGCCACATTCCCAGTCTTCTCCCTGAGCTTTTTTTTTTTTTTATATTTTTTTTGGTGAACATACTGTACAAAGGGGTTACAATTACATGGGCAGGATAATGCATACATTTCTTATCAAGCATTGCAGCCTCCTCCTTTGTTTACCCTTCACATCCCTTCCCAGCCTCCCCCCCCCCACCAACGTTGTAGAGCTCGTTTTAACTTGTACTTCTCATTGTTGCAACAGGTCCACCTATATCCTTAAACGACTTGTTTTTCCCCTTCTCCACAAGTAATACTGACATCAAATATAGTGAAAGCCAGGGTTATACTGTGGGGGAGGGACATACAAAGCAACAAAGAGATAATCTTATAAATGCGTTAGAAACAAATGCATGAAAGAAAAAAACATTAAAATACATATCTAAGGGTTCATTTTCCTAACATCACATTATCTGACCTTTTCCGCTTGACTCATACATATACTAGATAATGCAAATAAGGGAAACCATGGGACCTATGTTTCTTTGGGCCTGGCTTACTTCACTTAATATAATTTTTTCCAGGTTTTTCCATTTCCTGACAAATAGGGCAATGTCATTCTTTCTGATGGAGGCATAGAATTCCATTGTGTGTGTGTGTGTGTGTGTGTGTGTGTGTGTGTGTGTGTGTATATATATATATATATACACACCACATTTTCTTGATCCATTCATCTACTGAGGGGCATCTGGGTTGGTTCCATATCTTAGCTATGGTAAATAATGCTGCAATAAACATAGTTGTGCTGGTAGCTTTAGTGTCGTCTTGTTTGTAAACATTTGGGTAAATGCCCAAAAGTGGGATTGCTGGGTCATAGGGGAGCTCTGTGTGAAGTCTTTTGAGGAACCTCCATACTGCTTTCCAAAGTGGTTGAACAAGTTTACATTCCCACCAACAATGCAGTAAGGTTTCCTTCTGTCCACATCCCCTCCAGCATCTGTTGTCATTAGAGTTCTTGATTTTTGCCATTCTGAGGTAAAATGGTATCTCAATGTTGTTTTGATTTGCATTTCTTTTATGGCTAGGGATGTTGAACATTTCTTCATGTGTCTATTGGCCATCCTTCTTTCTTCTTCAGAGAAGTTTCTCTTTAAGTCTTTAGCCCACTTATTTATTGGGCAGTTGTTTCTTTGAGGATTTGTTGTTGGGGGATTTAATTTTTTGAGTTCCAAGTATATTTTAGATATGAGACTCTTGTCTGTTGTATGGCTAGTGAAGATCTTCTCCCAATCCGTGGGCTTTCTATTGATCTTGCTAGCTATGTCCTTTGCCATGCAGAAGCTCTGCAACTTCATGCAATCCCATTTGTCCAACCTTTCTTTGATTTGTTGTGTTTCCGGGTCTCTATTCAGCAAATTTCGGCTGGAGCCAAGGAGACCTAGGGTTTCTCCTATTCCATCCTGTAATGTTTTCAGAGTGTCTGCTTTGAGTTCAAGGTCTTTGATCCATTTGGAGTTGATTCTGGTGCAGGGTGATATATAAGGATCTAGCTTTAGTTTTCTACAAGTAGTTAACCAATTTTGCCAGCACCATTTACTGAAGAGGCTGTCTTTCTTCCATTCTATTGTTTTAGCTCCCTTATCTAAGATTAGATGGCTATAGGTCTGTAGGTTCATTTCTGGGTTTTCAATTCTATTCCATTGGTCCTGAGGTCTGTTCTTATGCCAATACCAAGCTGTTTTGATTACTATGGCTTTATAGTAGAGTTTGAAATTTAGTATTGATATTCCTCCAGCAGTGTTCTTTCCGTTGAGGAGCGTTTTTGGTATTCGGGGTCTTTTATTGTTCCATACGAATTTTTGGATTGCCTCTTCTATTTCCTTGAAGAATGAGGTTGGAATTTTGATAGGTATTGCGTTGAATTTGTAGATAGCCTTGGGAAATATTGCCATTTTCTCGATGTTAATCTTTCCAATCCAGGAACATGGAAGGTTTTGCCATTTTCTAAGTTTTGTTTTAATTTCTTTTTTCAAGATTTTAAAGTTTTCATCATAGAGGTCCTTCACTTTGGTTAAGTTAATTCCTAGGTATTTTATTTTTTTGTGGGGCTATTACAAATGGAGTTGCTTTCCTAATTTCAGCCACACTTTTCTCATTGTTGGCATACAGAAAAGCCATTGATTTTGAGGGGTTAATTTTATACCCTGCTACTTTGCCAAAGTTTTGAATCAGCTTGAGTAATTTGGGAGTGGAGTCTATGGGATTCTTTAAATACAAGATCATGTCATCTGCAAAGAGGGAGAGTTTTATTTCTTCTTTCCCTATTTGGATCCCCTTTATGTCTGCATCTTATTGCTGTAGCTAGGCATTCTAATACTAGATTGAAGAGAAGTGGAGAGAGTGGACATCCTTGTCTTGTTCCTGAGTTAAGAGGAAATGGCTTTAGTTTTTCACCATTAAGTATAATGCTGGCTGTAGGCTTGTCATATACAGCCTTTATTGTATTGAGGAATGTTCCATGGATTCCTAATTTTTCCAAAACCTTCATCATAAAGGGGTGTTGGATCTTGTCGAATGCTTTTTCTGCATCTATTGAGATAACCATGTGGTTCTTATTCTTGCTCCTGTTGATGTGATGAATAATATTGATTTGCGTATATTGAACCAGCTTTGTATCCCTGAAATGAATCCTGTTTGATCGTGGTGTATGATTTTTTGGATGAATTGTTGAAATCGATTGGCCAAAATTTTGTTGAGAAGTTTTGCATCAATGTTCATCAAAGAAATGGGTCTATAGTTCTCTTTCTTTGATGAGTCCCTGCCTGGTTTTGGGATGAGGGTTATGCTGGCTTCATAGAATGTGTTCGGTAGTGAGCTTTCTCTTTCAATTTCATTGAAAAGTTGGGGGAGTATTGGTGTGAGCTGTGCTTTGAAGGCCTTGTAAAATTCCGCTGTAAAACCATCTGGTCCTGGACTTTCCTTAGCTGGGAGGTCTCTTATTGCTGTTTCTATTTCAATGCTTGATATGGTCCTGTTAAGATGGTTTAACTCATTTTGGTTTAGTTTTGGCATGTCAATATTTGCTAGGAAAAGGTCCATTTCTGTCAGGTTCTCAAACTTATTAGCATAAAGTTTTGAGAAGTATTCCCTTATAATGTTCTTTTTTTTTTTTTTTTTTTTTTTGTTGGTCGTGGGGCTTGAACTCTGGGCCTGGGCGGTGTCCCTCAGCTCTTCAGCTCAAGGCGAGCGCTCTACCACTTGAGCTACAGCGCCACTTCTGGTTTTGTGGTGGTTTATTGGAGATAGGAGTCTCACGGTCTCTCCTGCCTGGGCTGGCTTTGAACCGCGATCCTCAGATCTCAGCCTCCTGAGTAGCTAGGATTACAGGCGTGAGCCACCAGCGCCCGGCTCCCTTATAATGTTCTGAATCTTGGTTGCTTCTGTGATGTTTCCATTCTCATCTCTTGAGTTTATTCCCTGAGCTTTTTAGTTCAAGGCTAGTGCTATACCACTTGAGCTACAGCTCCACTTACAGCTTTTTTAGTAGTTAATTGGCAATAAGACAACTTTTCTGGTTCTGCTGGCTCCCAAGTATGATCCTCAGATTTCAGCCTCCTGAGTATCAGTTAGGATTATTTATAGGCATGAGCCATCTGCCTGGCTACTTGCTCCATTTTATATAGAGAAGTATAAGCAGCCTCAAGTAGTTTGCCATTTGGAGCAGAGATAGAGAAGTCATGGAATCTTGTCAAAAATTATCCTAGTCCTATAGTTATTTAAGTTGTACAAAGTGTCTTAACTTGGATTTTACTACTGACTGTGCTATTTCCTCCTGATTGCATTTTGGGAGGAAGCTTCTGTGGTCTGCATTTTCTTTCTTTTTATTCTATGTGTCTGCATATGTTTAAACTAGAGTATATTTCTCTACTTTTGTATTTAAAATTTCAAAGATTGTAAATTTCTATGTCATTAAAATGAAAATTTTTTTCATTTTAGAGGAAAATACTAAGGAACTACTTTTAAGAGTGAATGAGGTTATTAAGAATTCAGACAAAAATGTATGTACCCGAGCACTTTGGTTATTAGCCAAACAGATGATTTCCACTGAGATTATTGGCAAATTGGTGAGTATAGTTTTTATGTGTCTTACGTATGTTATATTCCAATTCAGAATTCTGTCATATTTGATTTGTTTTTCACTCTTCCAGGTATCCAGTATAATTGATGCACTAGAAATACTGTTTAATAAAGGAGAGCAGCATTCTGCTGTTGTTGTTTATGAAGCATTAAATGTTATTATAAGGTATGTGTTTGATTGCTATGAAATTTAGAATGTATAAATTTAGAGTTATTTTTCATGAGGCTGCAGGTAGAATTTAGGCAAAAGCTCATAGTACTCAGGTCAGAGTTTAAGCCCCAGAACTGGCAAAAAAAAAAAATAGCGGACTAGATTTGTGGCTTAGATGGTATGCCAGCCATGAGGAAGAAAGCCAGCTAAGTGAGAATGTGAGTCAAGGTACAGACACAAAAAAAGAAAAACCTAAACAAGTAAAGATGGAAGTAGGGGCTGGGAAGGTGGCTCAGTGCTAGAGCGCTTGCCTTGCATGCCTGAGGCCCTGGGTTCGATTCCTCAGCACCACATAAGCAGGAAAAAAAAAGCTGGAAGTGGCGCTGTGGCTCAGGTGGTAGAGTGCTACCCTTGAGCTGAAGAGCTGAGGGATAACGCCAAGGCCCAGAGTTCAGGCCCCACAGCCGGACCCCCTCTCCCCCGCAAAAAAAAAAAAAAAAAAAAAGATGGAAGTAGATATTCATAAAGTTAATAAAATTTTTTACTGAGTTAATCTTTAAAAAATTTTTCTTATCCTCCTGTTTGTAGGTGTTGAACTCTGGGCCTGGGCATGTCCCTCTAGCTCAAAGCAAGCACCACTTCCGGTTTTCTGGTGGTTTATTGGAAGAGAGTTTCAAAGGCTTTCCTGTTCAGGCTGGCGTTGAACCTCAATCGTTAGATCTCAGTCCCCTGAGTAGCTAGGATTACAGTACAGGCGTGAGCCACTGTTGCTCAGCTTTAATAACATAGTTTTAAAAATTAAAATTCTGCTTATAATTCAGTTCTGGTATCAAAAATTACATGCTAAAGGTTTTGCAAGATTTAAAAAATAGTGGAAGCTCAGAAGTTGGCTAGGGCTAGCTGGGAGTAGAAAAATACCTTTTTCTTAGCCCTTTCTACTCTTTCATGGGCATGATAACAGCACAAACTTTTCCTTATTTTTCTTTCTCCGTTTTTAAAGCTATTGAGCTATTTGCTTTACTTGGTGTTCCCATGCTATGATTGATGTTCAGATTATGTTTGTGTATTGCTCTCATAACAATGTTGAATTTCACTGGGCAGTGGTGGCTTATGCCTATAATCAGGAGGCTGAGATCTGAGTATCAAGGTTCAAAGTTAGCTGGGGCAGAAAAGTCCCCATGAGATTCTTAGACTCCAATTAACCATTCAGAAAAACTGGTAGTGGAGCTGTGGCTCTAAGAGGTGCAAAAAGAGCTCAGAGACACCTCAGGCCCTGAGTTCAAGTACCATGACTCACCCTTCCACCCTATAGTGCGCCCCCCCTCCCCCCCCCCCCCCCCGCCAATTTTTTATGCAGATATACTTGGCATATTGTGCATTTTTCTGTTTTGTATTGGTTTAAATTTTGGGAGTAACATTAAGCTATTTTAGTCACTGAATTCTCTATCTTAGGCTAATAGAACAAGCACCAGTTCAAATGGGCGAAGAAGCAGTGAGATGGGCAAAATTGGTCATCCCATTACTGGTTCACTCAGCACAGAGGATCCATTTACGGGGAGCCACTGCTTTGGAGATGGGAATGCCACTGTTGCTTCAGAAACAACAAGAAGTAGCATCTATTACAGAGCAGCTTATGACTACTGTAAGTACTTCATTATGTAAAAATTAACTGGTGCATTAGAGTGATCTGCATTAAGCTTCAAATTGACTCAGCTCACTGTAGGAGTTGACTGTAATAGGGGAGTTTAGCTTTGAATTAAAATGAAGACTTGACCAGGGATGTAGGTCATTGGTTGATGTGCCTAGTATAGGTGATGTCCTAGGTTTGAGTCCCAGGACTGAAGAAATAAAGAACTGCTTTAGCAAAAATGGATTCCTTCTTTCAATTCATTTTTTTTTTTTTTTTTTTTTGGGTCCGGTCATGGGGCCTGAACTCTGGGCCTGGGCACTGTCCCTCAGCTCTTCAGCTCAAGGCTAACGCTCTACCACTTGAGCCACAGCGCCACTTCCGGCCTTTTTCTTTTTGCTTATGTGGTGCTGAGGAATCAAACCCAGGGCCTTTGGCATGTAAGGCAAGTGCTTTTACCACTGAGCCGCCTTCCCAGCCCCTTTGAATTCATTTTTACTGAAGTTTATCACATCTCCTGTAGATGGTGAATATAAAAGGATTATATTTCTGAAAAAGACTTGTGACTCATTCAATACTATTTGGATTGTAAAATATGAAAAGATAAGTTCCTCTAGTTGGAATAGTTTCCTAGTTGCATTATTTCAGGACTTTGGGCTTTGTTTCTTTCTTTCTTTCTTTTTTTTTTTTTTTTGTCGGTTGTGGGGCTTGAACTCTGGACCTGGGTGCTATCCTTCAGCTCAAGGCGAGCACTCTACCACTTGAGCCACAGCGCCACTTCCAGCTTTTTCTGCTTAGGTGGTGCTGAGGATTCGAACCCAGGGCCTCATGCATGCAAGGCAAGGACTCTACCACTGAGCCACCTTCCCAGCCCCTGGGCTTTGTTCTTTTAACAGGTTTTTCTTTAGCTTGTTACATGAAGTGCACTGTTTTAGGCACTGTGACTGTAGTAGCAAACCAAAGGTTGTGGGCTTATTTTCTCGTATAAGTAAAGAAGTAAGGTATATATAAGTGAAGACCACTATGAAGTACATCACAGACACGGTAGAGCAAGTGTGGGGATTATCTGGCTCAGAGGTCCTGTGAGGCCCATGAATTTATTCGATCAGGTCTATGAAGTGAACCAACAACAGGCAGAACTTGAAGTTTAAGAAATCTAAGAGGGGGGCTGGGAAGGTGGCTCAGTGATAGAGTGCTTGCCTTGCATGCATGAGGTCCTGGGTTCCATTCCTTAGCACCACATAAGCAGAAAAAGCTGGAAGTGGCGCTGTGGCTCAAGTGGTAGAGCACTAGACTTGAGCTGAAGAGCTGAGGGACAGCACCTAGGCCCAGAGTTCAGGCCCCATGACCAGCAAAAAAAAAAAAAAAGTCTAAGAGGTTTTTTCTGTGGGTATGTGCAGGGCCTGGTACCATCCCTAAGTTTTTTTGCTCAAGGCTAGCATTCTATCATCACAACTCTACTTAACTTTTTTTTTTTGGGTCCCGTCGTAGAGCCTGAACTCTGGGCCTGTGCGCTGTCCCTCAGCTCTTCAGTTCAAGGCTAGCGCTCTACCACTTGAGCCACAGTGCCACTTCCAGCTTTTTTCTTTTTTGCTTATGTGGTGGCTGAGAAATCGAACCAAGGGCCTCATGCATGCAAGGCAAGCGCTCTACCATTGAGCCACCTTGCCAGCCCCACAGCTCTACTTTCAACTTTATGATTAATTGCAGATAAGAATTCTACCGCCGGGCGCTGGTGGCTTACACCTGTAATCCTAAGTACTCAGGAGGCTGAGATGTGAGGATTGGGTTCAAAGCCAGCCTGGGCAGGAGAGTCCGTGAGACTCTTATCTCCAATAAACCACTAGAAATCCAGAAGTGGGCTGTGGCTCAAGTGGTAGAGCGCTCGCCTTGAGCTGAAGAGCGCAGGGACAGCGCCCAAGCCCAGAGTTCAAGCCCTACTACTGACCAAAAAAAAAAAAAGAAAAGAATCCCACAGACCTTCCCACCTGGGCTGGCTTTAAGCTATGATCTTCAGATTTCAGCCTCCTGAATAGCTAGGATTTTTGGGTGTGAGCCAGAAATCTAAGCCCAAGCAGGAATAATTAAATGGTCTTTGTCAAGAAAGTATTTTCTACCTTTGAGATACAGATTGTACCATCAGAAAGACTAGTGAGGTGGACAAGGATGGTAGAACTTAGGTCATCTGGGCTTAGGGATGTACCTAACAAGTGGGAGGTGCTCTTAAGTGACTTGAAGTCCAGAGGATAAATTCATTCTTGGTGAGAAAACCTTGAGCGCAAAAGGACTGGCTCTGAGTTGGTATTTGTTGTTTTTTCCCCATTACAGCCAAATCTATATTGATAATGGCTTTATGATCAGAAATAAAAAATGAGCACATTAAAATAATGCTATAGTCTAGGTATTTCCTATTTGTTGTAATTTGTGTGTGTGTGTGTGCGCGCGCGCGTGCATGCTGGTACTGGGATTGAACTCAGGTTCTTAAGCTCTTACTCAAAGTTTCTTGCTCATGGCTAGTTTGCTACCACTTGACCCACTTGTCCAGTCATTTTGCTAGTACTTGGATATGGACTCTCATGGGCTTTTTGCCTGGGCTGGCTTTGAACTGTGATCCTTCAAATCTCAGTGTACTAAGTAGCTAAGATTAGGTTAGGATTATAAGTGTGAATCACTGGCACCATGCTTATTTAAGTTGGGGTTAAGGCTGTTTGGCTGAGAATGAATTTTGGGGAATGAATTTTGGGGAATTATAGGTAGACTTCCATATTGGATAGTATTTTCCTTTCTAAGAGATTATTTAGTAAATATCTTAATTTTCTTTACAGAAATTGATCTCAGAACTCCAAAAACTATTTCTGAACAAAAATGAGACCTATGTATTAAAATTATGGCCTTTGTTTGTCAAACTTCTTGGAAAGGTAAGTGACATAGTTACTGAATTTTTTGTATTTTTAAGCACACATTAGTTGTACAAAGAGTTTTTTGATCATGTAGACAGAGTATTCAAATCAATTTCACCCCCTCTATCATCCTCCTTTACTCTTCCCCTGTTGTCCAAAACACTTTTAGTAGGTTTCATTGTTGTGTTTTCATACATGATGATAGTCTACTTAACCATATTCCTTGTTGTCTTCGATAATCCCTTTTCACTAGCATCTTCCCCCCTCCCCCCCAAGAGCCTGTTTATCTTTCCCAGGGTCTGACAATTTTATGCTTTAATGTTAGTTGGGTTATCTCCATTATTTTTGCCTTATTTACAAATTGTAGTTACTGAATTGTTTGTCAATCCCATATTAGTCCTGGTGTTGCTTTTATATCATTTGTAGACAAACAGCAGCCAAGAATGTGAGTCACTCAGAAGGGTATGTTCTCAGCTGAGGGTCCAGCAAGGTTATATTCTGCCTTTAGTTTTAGCTTTCATATCTTAAGCAAGTTTGTTTCTTGGTCCCTCTAGTTTCAGGTGGTATTGTGATTGTTCTTGGTCACTTCACTTATTAAAAGTGCATTAAGTATCAGGCTGTGTGTTGTCTAGTTAATGTTCATTTTGTTGTTGTTGTTGTTTTTGGCCAGTTTTTGGCCAGTCTTGGGGCTTGCACTCAGGGCCTGGGCACTGTCCCTGAGCTTCTTTTGCTGAAGGCTATCCACAGTGCCACTTCTGGCCTTTTCTGTTTATGTGGTACTGAGGAATTAAGCCCAGGGCTTTATACTTGCTAGGCAACTACTACCACTAAGCCACATTCCCAGCCTTTGCTGGTGTTCTTAAGCATAAGAAGGATGTGTTTGCCTGTGTAGAATGTGTGCTAATTAATAGATAGAAAATCAACATGTTTTCAATTCCGTGTCTTTAGAGAACCATGAAATAGGATTGTCGATTGAACAGTTGACAAGAGATCAAAGAAATCCAATAGTATATTGTATAGACGTGATGGCTAATGTTTACTAAAAGGTTGAGGTCATTTAATAGAACATGCAGTGAACAATAAAAAAAATCAGGTTTAACTAAGCCAGTTTTGTGGGAGGGTACTCTTCATTTATTTTAACCATTCAGTGGTATTAAATCTAATGGTATTAAATATGTTGTATAAACAGTCCTGTGTATACCCAAAACATTTTCTTCCATCTCCAATAAAAACTACCCTTTTAGTGCCAGGGGTAGGGACCTTCTTTGCCAAGGGCCATTTGGATATTTTATAATTCCATTCACAGGCCATACAGAATAAGTAATAGGCAGATAGATGGCTGCAGGCGCCTATGAGAAGCAACCTATCCCATCACATACCAAATGATGAGGCCCACAGGCCGGACATTTCTTAACCCTTGCTTAACTCATTGACTCACTCTCTCCACCATTAAACATCTGTTGTACTTTCTGTGTGAATTTGCTTATTTCCTTATGTAAGTGGAATCATGACATTGGTCCTTTGTTTATAGCTTATTTTTTAAGTATAATGTCAAAATCCATTTAAGAGCATATATTAAAGCTTCCAGTGATTGTGAGTAATACTGTACTGGATTTTATTGTTCATCAGGATGGATATTTGGACTTTATCGTTTTGCTCTTGTAAATAATGTGACTATAAACATAGGTGTAGAAATGTTTTTGGAGTCCTTGTCTTCAGGTTTTTGGATATAAGCTTAATAGAATTATGGGGACACATGTATGGTAAGTTCTGTGCTTCAATATTTTAGAAGCCACTAAATGATCTATAGCAGCATTACTATTTTATATTTGTACCCATAATGCTCTAAGGTCCTGCCTTCTCAACATTCTTGACCTTTATTTAGTATTAGTCATTTTAATTGATGTGAAGGTCAGTGTCAGTTGTAGTTTGCTTTTCTAGTGTTAATCTTTTCATGTGGTCTGACCATTTTCTTTATTTTATCCAGAGAAATGTTGCAAGTCCTTCATTTCTTTTTTTTTTTTTTTTTCTTTTTTGCCAGTCATTGGGCCTGAACTCGGCCTGGGTGCTGTCCTTCAGCTCTTCAGCTCAAGGCTAGCACTCTACCATTTGAGCCACAGCGCCACTTGTGGATTTTTTCCTTTTTGCTTATGTGGTGCTGGGGAATCGAACCCAGGGCCTCATGAATGCAAGGCAAGCACTCTGCCACTGAGCCACCTTCCCAGCCCCCTTAATATAGTCTTGTAAATCTTTTCACTTATGTGCATTACAGACATTTTCATTTTGTAGGTTATTTATTTTTTTAAATAAGCTAGTACTGGGGTTTGGAACTCAGGGCCAGGTGATCTTCCCTTAGCTTTTTTGCTCAAGGTTTATCTTGAGGCACAATTCACTTCTGCTAGTCAATTTGAAAGAAGTGTCTCAAAAACTCTTTTGCCTGGGCCAGCTTCAAGCTCGGACCCTCAGATCTCAGCCTTTATAGTAAGATTATAGGAATGATCAACCAACTTCCCTGCTTGATATTGTTCTGGTAGGGGAGTGCTGGTACTGGAACTTATACTCAGGGCCTCTTTCTGAGCTTTCTTGCTCATAGTTGTTGCTCTGCCACATTAAGCCACACCTCCAAGCTGGCATTTTTGCCTGGCTAATTGGAAAAGGAATCTCACAGCTGGCTTTGAAGTATGATCCAAGGACTAGGAAAGTGACTCAATGGTGTGCTTGCCTTGCATGCATGAGGCCCTGGGTTCGATTCCTCAGCACCACATAAGCAAATAAAGCTGGAAGTGGTTCTGTGGCTCAATTGGTAGAATACTAGCCTTGAGCTGAAGAGCTGAGGGACAGGGCCCAGGCCCAGAGTTCAGGCCCCCAACCAACAAAAGAATAAATAAATGAAGTATGATCCAGGTCTCAGCCTCCTCAGTAGTTAGGATTACAAGTGAACCATTAAGGCTTGCCTTAAGATGTATTCGTGCTTTATTGATGATGTCCTTTGCACAGTCTTTTTGGGGTTGTAGTTAAGGATCAAACCCAGGGTCGTATACAATGTTACGCATGTGCTCTACCATTAAACTGTTAAACAGTTTGTGAAGTACAATATACTTTCAGTTGTCTTTGTTTTTGATGCTATATTTGTGCAATTGTCCCTAATTGTCAGAGATTTAGGAATTTTTTTTATTATAAAGGTGATGTACAAAGGGGTTACAATTATATAAACTAGGTTAGGAGTTCATTTTGTCTTGGACAATGTCACCCCCTTCCCTTGCTCTTAGTTTTTCCCCTCCTGTTCCCAAGGAATTTTAATATATTAAGTCTTTAGAAGATGGAGTATAGTGGCTCATGTCCATAATCTAGCTACTGAGAGGCTCAGCTCTGGGGATTGTAGCTGGAAGTCAGCCAGCCTGCCTGGGAAGGAAAGTCCTTGAGACTTACTGGAAGTGGAGCTGTGGCTCAAGTGGTAGAGTGCTAGCCTTGAGCAAAAAACAAGCAAGCTCAGGAACACCTCCTAGGCCCTGAGTTCAATTCAAGCCCCAGTACCACACAAAAAAGTTTTACAGTTTTAATTTTCTTTTCTTTTTTTTTTTTTGGGGGGGGGTCCAGTTGTGGGAACTGAACTATGGGTCTGGGCGCTGTCCCTCAGCTCTTCAGCTCAAGGCTAGCGCTCTACCACTTGAGCCACAGCACCACTTCTGGCTTTTTTCTTTTTGCTTATGTGGTGCTGAGGAATCCAACCCAGGGCCTCATGCATGCAAGGCAAGCGCTCTACCACTGAGCCATCTTCCCAGCCTTACAGTTTTAATTTTCATCTTTAAAATATTTTGAATAAAGTTTTGATAATGTGTGAGGTAATGATTTAGCTTCATTCTGTTGTAAGTGGGTATTGTGTGTGTGTGTGTGTGTGTGTGTGTGTGTGTGTGTGTGTGTGTGTGTGTGTGTGTGTGTGTACATGTACGTACTGGTATCAGGGACTTGCATTATTCCTTTATTGTTTTTTTTCGGTCATGGGGCTTGAACTCCGGGCCTGGGCGCTGTCCCTGCATTCTTCAGCTGAAGGCAAGCGCTCTACCTCTTGGCCACAGTGCCACTTCCAGTTTTCTAGTGGTTTATGGGAGATCATAGTCTCAAGGACTTTTCTGCCTGGCCTGGCTTTGAACCTTGTTCCTCAGATCTCAGCCTCCTGAGTAGCTAGGATTCCAGGTGTGAGCCACCAATGCCTGGCTACTTGCATTCTCCCTTAGCTTTTTTTGCTTAAGGGTAATGCTCTATCTCTTGACCCACATTTCCACTTTGAGCTTTTTTGGTTGCTCAATTGGAATTAAGAGTCGAACTTTTCTGACTTGTCTGGCTTAAAACCAAGATCCTCAGGTTCTAGCCTCCTGAGTAACTAGGATATAGTCATGAGCTACCATTTGTTGAAAAGGCTTTTCAATCAATATAGTCCTGGACCCATGTATTTGAACATGTATGCAGGGATTTTTTTTTCCCCTGAATTCTGCTCCCTTGCTGCCTGGTCTGTCATTAATGTTTGTTATTTTTGTCTGAAAAAGGTTGTTGAAATTTTGTGCTTATGTTGGTACTTGAACTTGGCCTGGGCATTGGTTCCTTAGCTTTTTGCAATTATGTCTGGTGCCCTACATACTTGAGTCACTGTCTTTTGGTAGTTAATTGGAGATTACAGTCTTATGGACTCTCCTTCCCAGGCTAGCTTTGAACTCAGGAGCACCTGAGTAAATAGACAGCCACTGTTAACTAGCTAGTTGTTGGAATCTTGCATAGTCTTGCTGTTTTAACATTGTTTAGTCCTGTCTGAATACATGTCATATTTTAATTTTTCTTGGTCTTCAGCTTATTTTAACAATCCCTTATAGTTTTCATTGTATAAATTGTTAACTTCTTTGGTTAGAACTCTGTAATTTGCGGTATAATGATGTTTCAAACAGTGACAGGCCAGACATGGTGCAGTGGTCTCATAAGAGTTCAATAGAGCTAGAAATAGAGCTAGTAGCATTAAAATTGGCTTGGTGTGTGTGTGTGTGTGTGTGTGTGTGTGTGTGTGTGTGTGTGTGTGTGTGTGTGTGTGTGTGTGTTTATTTCTTTGGTGCTGGTCTTGAACTAAGGGCTTGTTTGCTACCTCTAGCTTTTTTTCCTCAAGGCTAGAAATCAACCACTCAAACCACAACTCCACTTCCCACTTTGAGTGGTTGATTGGAGACAGTCTCATTAACTTTCCTTCTTGGTCTGTCTTTGAATATCAATCCTCAAAACCTCAGTCTTTTGAGTTGCTAGGATTATAGGTGTGAGCTGCTAGTGCCTGGCTTCCCCCCCTCTCCCCCCATATACACACACTGGTACTTGGCCTTGAGCTCAGGGCTTTGTGCTCTTGCTTATCTTTTTTCTGTTCTACCACCACTTGAGCCACACTTGCATTTCTGGCTTTTTTTTGCTTGTTATTGGAGATAAAGAGTCTCAATGCACTTTTGGTTTTAACTGCTTTCTTCAGAACTCTTGATTTATTTACTTACTTATGCTACTGAATTTAAATCCAGGACCTCACTCATGCTTGATGCGTGTAGCATCTTGAAATTGCATTACTCAAGTATTGGTGGTGATCTTGTTAGCAAACTGGGCTTCCAGTCATATAAAAGCATAGCAATACAATTTTATATATACATAATGCTTGATAATAAGCAACATTAACTGCTTAATGTATATGGTGTTTTACAGTGTACTCTAAATATAAAAACACTTACTGTAAAGTAGTATACTGTGTTAAGTCAGGTTAATTCATCTCATTTTTATCATGTGTATTAGTTGCTTCATCTTCTCTTGTGATTGACTTAATCTTGTGTTTTGTTCACCTTGGCCCTAGGGGCAATAAGCTATACCATATATACACCATGTAGACTAGGTGTATGGAAGGCTATTCCATCTAAGTTTGTGTAAGTACACTCTTGACTTTGCATGACAACAAATTTCCTATCATTAAGTGATCCACATATTTATTTTTTAGGTGCTAGGTAAATTAAATTGCTTTGCTAATTTGCTACTCAGATTGTTCATTCTTGAGTTTTGCATAAGAGTGATTTGACTTTGTAGTTACTAAATTTATTAGCTCTAGCAAATTTCTTAAGGAGTCTGATATTCTAAGCCTTTTTGTTGTCATTTTAGACTATATATAATTAGCCAAACATGGTGGTGAACATTTGTAATCTCAGCACTGGGGAAGCAAAGCAGGTGAATTGCCAGTTTGAGGCCAGCCTAGATTGTATAGTAAAACTCTGTCTTGAAAATAAAAAAATAAGAAACATTTACATGTGCTTTATTGATTTGTAGGACTATTTATGTATTGTTTTCTTGCCATATATTTATAGTTTTTTTTGTTAGATACTATTTCCGTTTTAGTCATATACAGTGTTTGGAAGTAAAGTTACTTGACATCTCATTTTAATACTGTTAGCAGATATCATTTATATTTGTCTTTCATGAAACGTCTTTCAGCTGATTTTCATGCCTGTTTGAGTTGCTTGAAAGGATTTGTTAATTTCAGAATTTAGCATTTCTTTTTCTTAGTCTTTTTTTGCATGTTTTTTCATATAGATACAGGTTGAATATCCTATCTGAAAATCTTCTAGAGTACAAAGCGTTATTTATTTATTTACTTACTTACTTATTGGCAGTACCAGTTTGAACTCTGGTACTGCTTGGCTGTTACTGTCAACTCATTTGACCTAAAATTTCCATCCTCTGGATCTCAGTCTCCTGAGTAGCTACTACAGACAGGTATGACCTTCCAATGCCAGGCTCAAGATCTAAATTTGTTCTCCCCCTTGACTGAAAAATTCTATGCCTGGCTTTGTGTTGAGTGTCAGTCAAGATATAAGTAACAGTGAAAATACTCTATAAAATTCTCTTTACAAAGTGAAAATGTACATTCAATCTGTATCTATTTCTTTGGTCTTAAATGGATAAAACATGGAATTTATCTTACCTTCCATATTTTTTCTGCATTGTACACTATGCTTTATTAAGCCTTTTTAAAAAAATGTTTTATTACCGTGGCTTTCAATATGTGTGTACACCTCAATATTTTCTTAGTGGAGTGTGGTAGTTCACATCTATTGTTCTAGTTACTTGAGAGACAGAAATTGGGTAATGGCAGTTCAAAGTCAACAGAGGCAAAAACTCTTCTTTACATTCTATCTTGACCAGTGATTGGTTGAGGTGACACATGGCTGTTAATCCCTGTTATGCAGGGAAGCCACATTTAGCCTCTGGTATAAAGTGAGTGAGACTGTTCCTTTAAAATAGCCCAAGTAACTAGCTGGTAGATTGGTCCTAGTGGTAGAGTACCTGCCTAGCAAGTGTGAGACCCTGAGTTCAAGCCTAGGTATAAAGTAAGACCTTTTTTAGACTGGTTCAAATGGTAGAATGTCTCTCTACATAGAAAATATGGGGTCCTGAGTTCAAATCCCAGTACCACTAAGGAATTTTGTTTTGAGACAGTCTCCAATTCAAGATCCTCCTGCCTTGGCCTCCAAAGTGCTGATTTACAGGTATACATTAACACATCTGGCCATAAGATTTTCTTAATTCAAATTTCTAGGAATGTGTATCTTTCGTAACAAGCTTATGTTTTGTGGGAAATACATCTGTTGTCTCTTTTGTGAGATTATGAATTCCTAAGAGCATATATTAAGTGAATAGATAAAAAAAAATAGGCACTATCTTCATTAATTTGTTTCAAGCAGAAAAATAATTTAATTTTTTTTCTCATTATTTAGACCCTGCATCGAAGTGGGAGTTTCATCAATTCTTTGTTACAGCTGGAAGAACTGGGATTTCGTAGTGGAACACCCATGGTGAAAAAAATTGCTTTTATTGCTTGGAAGAGCTTAATAGATAATTTTGCTTTAAATCCAGGCATGTAAATTTTTTGTTTATTTTGCTATTAGGCAAGGTTAAACATCGAAACTTTCCTGATTCTTTGGAGTTTATACTGAAACTTTAATAATATCTGTAGTAAAGATAGAATTTTATTTGTACCTGGGTCTTGAACTTAGGGCATGGGCACTGTTTGAGCTCTTGCTCAAGGAAGCATTCTACCACTTTGAGCCACAATGCTACTTCCAGTTTTCTGGTGTTTAATTGGAGATGAGAGTCTCACAAACTTTTATTCCTGGGCTGGTTTTGAACTGCGATCTTTAGATCTCAGCCTCCTGAATAGCTAGGATTATTATTATAGGCCTGAGCCACCAGTACCTGTAATGATAGATTTTTTTAAAGAGACATTGGAAATTACGAGTGTGTGTGTGTGTGTGTTTTTTCTGAGCCCTTCCCTAGCAAAGGTGAGGCCATATTTAATCTCTGCTATAATTCTACACCCCCCAAAAGTTTTTATTTTAAAATGGAAAAATACCATGTGTTCTAGCACTGAGTTGAACACTTATACATATTTTATACAATAGATCTGAGGTGTACTGTAACTATTTTAGGAAAGCTAAGTATACCAGAGGACAAAGCCAGCAGAAGATGTGAGAAACAATGATCTTATCTTTAATCACCACTGTATAATATTAATGTTGAATTTATCCATTTTCCCTTACCAAAGATTGTTAATAGTGATATTCCCTACTTTACTATAATTTTTAATTATATAGTAGTTATTGTTTTACTAAGAATATTAGTAAAGAAGGTATGTTGTGGGATACACGTGCGTTTTTAGATAATGATTTTTTCGGACATCATGTTTCTAACTTCGACTCTTGAACTAACTGTAGTCTAGCCTGGCCTCAAATTCCCTGGTGCTGAGATTACAGGTGTGAGCCACCATGCCCAGCTAATTGGAAATAAAATACTGCTTACTTAAAAACAGAATGGTTAGCATAGCTAGTAGTATGGAGTAATACTTGACAGTTAAATCTGTTAGAATTATATATAATTGTAGGAATGTGAAATAATGAAAAGATAAAATCTTTAAGTCAAGTCTAGAGCTAAAGTTCATGACTGGAAATCAGTGGATACAGGAAGCCATTGAGCAATCAGATACTTGTCCTTTTTTTTGGTCGGTCGTGGGGCTTGAACTGTGGACTTGGGGGCTCTCCCTCAGCTCAAGGCAAATGCTCTACCGCTTGAGCCACAGCACCACTTCCGGTTTTCTAGTGGTTTATTGGAGATAAGAATCTCACTGACTTTCCTGCCCGGGCTGGCTTTGAACGTGATTCTCAGATCTCAGCCTCCTGTTTAGCAAGGATTATAGGCGTGAGCCACCGTCACTCGGCTACTTGTCCTATTTTATCTTTGATATGCTTCCAGTGCAGACTACGGCAAGTAGGACAAAAGGAAGAACAAAAATAACTAAAGGAGTCTTTTAAGAATCACATTCCAAGCATGGGGACAGTCAGACTTCAGAGGAGAGAGAATTCCCAGTTTAAGGTCAGCTTAGGCTGTAAGAGACTCATAGCAATCACTTAAGAATTAGACAGTTCGAGCATGGTGACACATGCAGGTAATCTAGGCAGTCGTACAACAGAAGCAAAAAGATTCCTAGTTAAAGGCCAGCCTGGGCTATAAGATTTCAAAACAATGACTTATACATTTATACACTTCACCTGATTTTTATCAGGTAGGATGTCTAAATGGCAGATTAGAAAGAGACAAAGATTTGGGGGCTGGGAAGAGGTGGCTCAGTGGTAGAGCGCTTGCCTTGCATGCCTGAGGCCCTGGGTTCAATTCCTCAGCACCACATAAGCAGAAAAAGCTGGAAGTGGTGCTGTGGCTCAAGTGGTAGAGCGCTAGCCTTGAGCTGAAGAGCTGAGGGACAGCGGCCAGGCCGGGTTCAGGCCCCACGACCGGACCCCCCCCCAAAAAAAAAGAGAGACAAAGATTTGATCTATCTGAGCTGAGTAAAATCAGAATTTGTAATTAAAGGAGACTTTGCATGGCATGCTGTTATGTATGTGGTTGTGGGGCTTGAACTCTGGGCCTGGGCCCTGTCCCTAAGCTCTTCAGCTCAAGGCAAGCACTGTACCACTTGAGCCACAGCATCACTTCTGGTTTTTTGGTGGTTAATTGGAGATAAGAGTCTCATGGACTTTCCTGCCTGGGCCTCCTGAGTAGCTAGGATTATAGGCGTGAGACAACCATTGCCTGGATCCATTTTTTTTAATTAAAAAAATTTTTTTTATTGGTCATGGGGCTTTAAATCTACTCCTGTCCTGTACTGTCCTGAGCTCTTCAGCTCAAGGCGAGCACTGTACCACTTGAACCACAGCACCAGTTTTGGTTTTCTGGTGGTCATTTGGAGATAAGAGTCTCATGGACCTTCCTGCTCAGCTGGTTTTGAACTGTGATCCTCAGATCTCAGCCTTCTGAGGTAGCTAGGATTACAGGTGTGAGCCATGGGCACCCGGCTCATTATGCCATTTGTAACAGCAAGGAGTAGTATAGACATTGCAATATGTCATCTGATTGGAAAAGCATCCCACCAGCTTGATTTTTAAAGATTAATCATCTAATCGGTATTACCAGTTCCTATTAAGGGTTTTGGTCCAACTGTCAAAATGAAAAGTTTGAGTAGAACAAGAACAATCTTAGGATTTTTTTTTTAAACATATTTTCTTAATGTGCCAAAAAAGACTTTAAGCAGCTCATTTAAGAAATGTAAACATTAACTTAGACTTTTTATGTGTTTGCTTATTTTAAGATATACTGTGTAGTGCAAAAAGACTCAAGTTATTGATGCAGCCTTTGAGTTCCATCCATGTGAAAACAGAAGCTCTGGCATTAACAAAACTAGAAGTCTGGTGGTACTTAATGAAGAGACTTGGATCATATCTTCCTGCTAATTTTGAACAGGTAACATAAATGTTCATTGTTTCTTTAATTCTTAAGTTCTTAATAGTAGTCTTTTTTTTTTTTTTTGGTTACATTTGCTATGTGTTAGTTGACCACAGTCTCCAGGAAAGCCAAAAGTTTTTGTTTTTTTTTAAGTGCCAATCCTAGAGCTTAGATGCTGTTTCCAAGCTTTTTTTGCTCAAGGCTAGTGTTCAAATTATCACTAGTCACAGATCCACTTCTGGCTTTTGGGTGGTTAATTGGAGATAAGAGTCTCAGAGACTTTCCTGCTTGAGCTGGCTTTCAACCTCAATCCTTACTTGGCCTCTTGAGTACCTAGCATTGCTGGTGTGCACCACCAGTGCCTAGCTAAGACCTTTCTTTTTTTTTTTTAAACTCAGAAGTTGGATTTTGCTGTGGAGAATATTCTCTAATGATCTGAAGTAGAGCCCAGGTTTTTTTGTTTGTTAGTTTTGTCATTTATGGGTCTTGAACTCTGGGCCTGGGCACTATCCCTCAGCTCTACAGCTCAGGAAAGAACCCTACCACTTGAGCCATAGCGCCACTTCGTGTTTTCTGGTGGTTAGGAGATAAAGAGTTTCAAGGACTTTCTTGCCTGGCCTGGCTTTAAACTGCAGTCTTCAGATCTCAGCCTCCTGACTTAGCTGGGATGACAGGCGTGAGCCACCAGTACCTGGTTGAGTCCACTGTTTTGGAAAAGGAGATTTACATTTTATCTGCTTCGAAGAAGCTTCGTAAAACAAGATAATTGAAAATAAACATAGATGTATAATTGAAATCATAACAAATTGTCCAAGTTCTTACATTACAAGAGTTTTTTTTTTTTTTTTTGCCAGTCGTGGGCCTGAACTCTGGGCTTAGGCACTGTCCCTCAGCTCTTCAGCTCAAGGCTAGCGTTCTACCACTTGAACCACAGTGCCACTTTTGGCTTTTTTTGCTTGTGTGGTGCTGAGGAATAGAACCCAGGGCCTCATGCATACAAGACAAGCACTTTACCACTGAGCTGCCTTCCCAGCCCATTACAAGAGTTTAATAGGCCGATTTTCTGGTTGTCCAGCATTTTTATTGTAATTAATTAGTATCAAGATGTGATTGATAATGGGTTAATTTTGTAAATAGTGGGCTGCAGCATTGATCCAGCAATAGAGGACCTGTCTGCCTGTCTTGACCATGGTAAGGCACTGAAGTGAATGCAGTACTACTGAAAAAAAGTGTAAATTGAGTTTTTTGGGTTCTTTTTTTGAACCTGCCTGGGGTTTGAACTATGGGTCTGGGTGCTGTCCCTGAGTTTCTTTCACTCAAGCCACAGCTCTGCTTCCAGTTTTCTGGTGGTTAATTGGACATACGAGTCTCATGGCTTTTCTGCCCTTGTTGGCTTCAAATTGCAAGTCTTAGATGCCAGACTCCTGAGTAGTTAGGATTATAGGCATAGGTGTTGAGCCACTGGTGCCCAGCTACAATATTGTGTCTCTACTTTGACTTATTTAGACTGACCTTTCATGAGACTGGTCAGGTTCAGAGTTTTCAGAGCATTGACTGCTCATGAAATTTCTGGTTTTGGATCTTTTCAGATACATATTTTTTTAATTAGGGGGTGGTCAGAAATTTGTATTATAAAAGACTTAGAACAGGAGAGATCTATCTAGATAGATTATAAGCAGACATTTTGTCCTTTTTTTCTTGTCCTAATAGGTTTGTGTGCCCCTGATTCAGAGTACAATCATTGATAATAATGCTTCACCTAGAAGCAGTTCATCTCGTTTACCCACTTCTCCAAATTTAACTCCTATGACTCCTGTACACAAAGGTAAGAGAGATGTCCTTGCTTTTTTGAAATGAATGCCTTTGGGAGGAGAAACAATAAGGGAAAGGTATGATCTCCCTATGTAGCTCAGGCTCAATTCATTACAGTTCTCTTGCCTCAGTTTATATGGAGTGCTGGGATTACAGGTTTGTGTCACCCTTTCCCCCCATCCTCCGCCCCCTTTTTTGGTGCTGGTCCTAGCTCACACAAACACAGAATGTATAGATTAATAGTTTCAACATGGCAATTAATAGCTTGTACAATTGAAATTGTGTTTATTATTTTTGTGTGTTCATGTGCTGGTCTTGGGCTTGAATACTGGGCCTGGGATTTTGCCCTAGTTTTTTTGCTGAAAGCCAGTGCTTTACCACTGAGCTACAGTTCCACTTTCAGCTTTTTGGGTAGTTCGTTGGAGATGAGAATCTCAAGGACTTTTCTTGCCTGGGCTGGCTTCAAACCAAAATCCTCAGATCTTGTCCTTCTGAATAGCTACGATTACATATGTGAGCTGTCAGCACACAGCTGTTTTATAAGACATATTTTATTGAAGAGAAAATGGGTGCATTTGGGTAACAGAAAAAAAAAAATCTTGTATAACTTTTTGTTTTTCTTTTTTAAAGGTGCTTCCCCGTATGGAGGTCCTGCAACTCCACGTTCAAGTTCCAGTTCCAGTTCAAGTGGAATGTCCACAATATCTTCCATTCAACTTTTGGGACTAGAAATGTTGCTTCACTTTTTGTTAGGTCCAGAAGTCTTGAGTTTTGCCAAGCAACAGAAACTTGTATTGAACTTAGGTATGTAAGTGTTCTTAACATAATTTACTATAATAATTCAGATTAATTAACTTTTGATGAGGCTTCTATTTTCTCCACAGCGCAATTGTAATTCTGTATAATCTTTTAAATAATAAGCACTTATTCCAACCATCTAAAATTTTGTAAGTTGATAAATTTGCTTCACACATTTTTTTGTTTTTATATAACTTTGTTTTCTCCCTTTTAGAGCCACTTGAACATCCGTTAATCAGCAGTCCTTCTTTTTTTTCCAAACATGCACATATCCTCATCACTGCTGTTCATGATAGCTTTGTTGCAGTTGGAAAAGATGGTTCAGGTAATTGCAAGAATTTTTTTTTATATATTCAAAATTATTTTGGGAAGTTAAAGCAAATATTTATATTGTACCAAAAATCTTTATGTTGATTTATTTAATCCTTGAGTTCATTTTACAAATGGAGAAACTGGGTTGTATAGGGAAGTATGTAACTTGTGTTAATGTATGTATAAGAATATAACTTACTATTTTGTGATCGTACTGGGACTTGAATTCAAGCTTGGGAACTGCCCCTGACCTCTTTTGCTCAAGGCTAGCGCTCTATCACTTGAGCCATAACTCCACTTCTAGCTTTATTTTTTAAATTTTTTTAAAAATTGAAGCCAAAAGCCTCACTGACATTTCCTGTCCACTCAGATATCAGCCTCTTAGATAGCTAGGATTATAGACAGGAGCCACCAACATGTAGCAGTGTATTTATGACAAATGGTAATGTGATTCTTGTCTAGGCTCTGTGACTGGACCCCTTTGCATTAAGATTTCTGTGTTCTGAACAGCAAAACATCAAAATTCGAATAAGTGGTGTATTTGTGTAAGAGTAGCACTTGGGAATCTGAAATTACTTAAGGGCCTGGATGCTATCCCTGATCATTTTTTGCTCAAGGCTTGTGCTCTACCACTTGAGTCACAGTTCTACCTCTGACATTTGTAGTGGTTAATTGGGCATGAGAATCTTGGGCTTTCCTGCTTGGGCTGGCTTTGAATAATTATCTTCTAGGTGTCAGCCTCTTGAGTAGCTAGGATTATATAGGTCTGAGTGACCAATGGTTGGCTTTTTTTTTTTATTTTATTCTCTCTAACCTAGTTGGTGAATGAAGCATACTTCCCCCCCATTATATTGGTTGTCAGAATGCCTTCTAAGTCATTGTTTTTTTCCTTTTCTTAAAAGTGATCGGTATTGGACTGTGAGAATGTGGCTTAGTAGTAGAGTGCTTGCCTAGCATACATGAAGCCCTGGGTTCTATTCCTCAGTACCACATAAACAGAAAAAGCCAGAAGTGGCACTGTGGCTCAGGTGGTAAATTGCTAGCCTTGAGCAAAAAGAAGCTCAGGGACAATGCCCAGGCCCTGAGTTCAAGCCCCAAGACTGGCCAAAACAAAAGCAAAAAATGATTGGTATTCAATACAGAAAATACAGATAATGGGGAAAAGATAAATTGCATGTATTTAGTGATATTTACTGGCCAGATTATATTATGTACCTGAACTTTCTATGAATTTGTTATATATTCCTCTGTTACATATCCCAGTGTTAGCATGTTACAGTCCTGTTATAGAAAACAAGATTAATGTTTTCAAACAAAAATGAAGTGGTCTTTTCATGAATGTGTGGATGTATAAATAATGAAATTATATTCAGATTACCTAGGTATTGCTCAATTTGTTACTGATATAAGGGAACAAGAAAAGTTTTGTTAAAAGTGGTTATTTTCTTTGTTTAATAGATGCAGTGGTCAGTGCTATCTGGAAGGAGCTAATTACCTTGGTGAAGTCTGTGACTGAGTCAGGTAAGCATTATTACACTGAAATTGAAATCTTTGAATTTCACATGTACTTTAATTTTTTAGCCAGTCCTGGGGCTTGAACTCTTGACCTGGGCTTTGTCCTTGAGGCTCTCTGTGCTCAAGGCTAGTGCTCTACCACTTGAGCCACAGCATCACTTCTGGTTTTTTCTGTTTCTGTGGTACTAAGGAATCAAACCCAGGGCTTCATGCTTGCTAGGCAGGCACTCTACCACTGAGCCACAATTCCCAACCTTGTACTTTAAATTTTTACACTAATTTAAAGTGATTATTGACTTAGTAAAATTTGTTTTTTAGAAAGAAAATCTTCATCTCACCTGTATTAATATGTTTAGAACCATACTCTTCCTCTTTGCTTCTTTTTGACAGGTAACAAAAAAGAGAGGCCAGGTTCTGAAGTTTTAACCCTAATACTAAAATCTTTGGAAAGTATAGTGAAATCAGAAGTATTTCTTGCATCAAAAACACTAGTAAGTACACCTGAAAATTGATTTTAAAGGTCATGTTTTGGAATTGAGTTTATGTTGATATTTTCAGAGATTAGAATTGAGGTAGACTTTTCATTCGATAATTAGCAACATAGTTTTAATAATAAATATCATCACTTCACAACTGCTATAGATTTTTGTTTGTGCTAGGGTTACAGATGGAACTCAGGACCTGGACACTGTCCCTGAGCTTTTTTGCTCAAGGTTGATATACTGTCACTTAAGCCACAGCTCTGTTTCTGACTTTTTGATGGTTAATTGGAGACAAGAGTCTTGTGGACTTTTTTTGCCTGGGCTGGCCTCAAACCACAGTCCTCAGATCTTAGTATACTCCTGAGTAGCTGCGATTATGGGGGCGAGCAATTGGCTTCCAGTTATATATTAAAGAATTTTTTTGATATTAAATGGATTTGAATAGTCTCATAAATTGAAAATGAAATAAGTAACGATTTACAGGTTTTCTTTATGGATTGACAATGTACTAGGAAGTACAGTGTTCTTAATATTAAGGAAGGATCTAGAGCAGATAAGGTAAATTGCTTTTTTACTGAGTTAAATGAATTTGAACAATTGATTTGTGTTCTTGACCACTTCGATTCATCTTTAAAGATCCAGCAAAGTAGAGGTTAAATGTTTGAGTTGATATGTGTAAAGGACTAAGGGCCAGACACAAATAAATCCAGTTGATGTGTTTCAAAGCAAAATATATAAAAGCATTTTTACTAATTGTCATTTTTAGGACACCTTACAAAGCGTCACAATACAAGTATGGTTAGATTTTACATCAATACAAATTGAGAACAGTTTGGTGGAGGCTTAGCTCTAGCAATTCTGGACCCAGCTTCTAGTTTGCGTCTTAAAACTGTTACTATTGAGTATATACAAAATTTCTTTTCTTTTTTCGTTTCCTTTCTTTTTTTTTTTGTTGGCCTGGATGCTCTAGGCCTGGGTGCTGTCCCTGAGCTCTTCAGCTCAAGGCTAGCCCTCTACCACTTGAACCACAGTGCCACTTCTGGTTTTCTGGTGGTTAATTGGAGCTAAGAGTCTCACAGACTTTCCTTCCTGGCCTGGCTTTGAACTGTGTTCCTCAGAGCTCAGCCTCCTTAGTAGCTCGTGTTACAGGGAGTGCCAACAGCACCCAGCTCAGAATTTTTAGCAACATAAAAAATAGAAATATCCTTATCACCCATGGTTGAATAAACAAATGATGTACATTCTTAGGAAAACATCTATATGTTGATGCAAAAATTCTTGTTTCTGTTAATGTACTTTTAAAACTAATTCAGATATATACAGGCAAGTAAATGTATATTTACATTAATGAATGAGCATTTTTTGTACAAATTGCTAAGTTATAAAAATATTTAACATTAGTGGACTTAGCTAAGTAGAAAGACTGTATGACTGAATACTGTAAAACCTTTTATCTTTCTTAGGTCCTCATGGAAATTACAATTAAAGAACTTCCTCAGAAAGTATTAGGTTCACCTGCATATCAAGTTGCTAATATGGATATTCTTAATGCAAGTATCTTCAATGTAATGATATGATCAGATTGGTAACTTCTCCCCATCCCCAGAAGTTCATGTTTTTTATTTGCTTTATTACAAGTGGTAGATTTTTTTAAAGTTTTATGATGACTGCATTCAAAATATGTTGACTAAGTTAAAAAAGTAATAGCTTTATGTGAATAATATAGTGCTATCAATTTTTCTGGATTAAGTAATTGACTAAAGTTGAGTTTTTTTTCTTTTTCTTTTTCTTCCTTTTTTTGGGGGGGAGTGGGGGGGTCCAGTCGTGGGGCCTGAACTCTGGGCCTGGGTGCTGTCCCTCAGCTCTTTAGCTCAAGGCTAGTGCTCTACCATTTGAGCCACAGCGCCACTTCTGGCTTTTTTCTTTTTTGCTTATGTGTTGCTGAGGAATTGAACCCAGGGCCTTATGCATGCAAGGCAAGTGCTCTACCACTGAGCCACCTTCCCAGCCCTACAGTTAAGTTTTCTATTATTGTTAAATATTAAAAGTTTTGTAAGATTAGGAATATTAGCTTAATGTGAAACATGCTTGTTTGCATATGTAGGTATGTGAGTACAGGAGGTTTTTCAGTGCTCTTTATGTCTGGAATCACACATTCCTTGATACATAGACTGAATAATTAGACTAGAACATGCTGATTGATATTTGTATTTAGCGTTGGTTTGTTTGTTCTTGGAGTTAGGATATCACTATATCTCAACCTGGCCTTGTCCTCAAACTCCTTTTACCTTAAGCCTCCAAGATACTGTGATGATAATGGAACCACTATACCCAGGATTGAATGTAGCTTTGGTAATAAACTAGTCATACCATAAATAATACTATATTTCTTAAATGACTGTTTGTAGAAAATAAGTACATTATTCCTTGAAATGGGATTGTTTTTTTCCTTTTTTCAGGGAACTCCAGCTTTGTTCTTAATTCAGTTATTTTTCAACAATAACCTTTTGGAATGTGGTATAGCAGATGAAAGGTAAATTTAAACTTTAACTTGAAACTTTATATTGTTTCTGTTGTGAAACAATGCCCCAATATACGAGATTCATTTTTTTTTCTGTCATAAATTAAGTTTTTCAAAATCAAGTCTTGATTTATATATGTCTTTATAATATACCTATACATCTATATGTAGCCAATAGCTTAGACTGACTTCTGATTCGATTGCCCTTCCTTATTCTTTCAAGTGCTGATATTATAAGCACATTCCACCAAAAGTTTTTGGTTTTTGAGAATCTTGTTATGTAACTCATGTTGATGTAAAGTTTGTGTATCACCGTACATGTTATTGTGGGTTTTTTTGGGGGGGAAGGGGCAATCCTGAGGCTTGAACTCTATGGGCTTAGACATTGTTCCTAAGCTTTATGCTCAAGGCTAGCATTCTACCACTGTTCTGGCATTTTGTGGTTAGAGATAAGAGTCTCAGGGACTTTTCCTGTCCTGGCTGGCTTCGAACCATGATTCTTAGATCTCAGTCTCCTGAGTAGGATTACATGTGTGAGCCACTGATGCCCAGCTACCATATTTATTTTTTAATGAAAAAAGGATGTATCAAACCAATTATGGCAGTTCATGCCTGTTATCCCAGTAATTGGGTAATTGAGGCAAGAAGGTGATAGGTTTTAGGCCTCCCTAGACTACATAATCTGTCCTCAAAAAAAAAACCTTCTCTTTGGCCCACACCTGTAATTAAAGCTGTTCAGGAGATAGATATGGGGGGAATCCCAATTTAAGGACAGCTTTGCCAAAAAGTTTTTAGCAAGATCCCATCTCAGCAGGAAAGCTGGGCTTAGTGGTATATATTATTTATTGTCCTAGTTGTGTGGAAGTTAAAAGTAGGAGGATCACTGTCTAGGCCAACTCAGGAAATAACTGTAAGGAAAAATAACTGTAAAGGAAAAAAAGGGCTAGGGGGCTAGGGTGTGTCTCGATTGGTAGGGTACTTATCAACTGTGAGCCACTAAGTTAAATTCTGCCAAAACAAATTTTTAGAACAAGTTTTGTAAATTGCCATTTCTTGTTTTTAACAATGTGAGTCTGCACAAAGTACTTATTAATGGGATTTTAATTTGTTTAGGTTTTTCCTCAATCTGGAAACACTTGTAGGCTGTGTGCTTTCTGGTCCAACATCACCACTAGCTTTCAGTGATTCTGTATTAAATGTTATTAACCAAAATGCAAAGCAGTTGGAAAACAAGGAGCATCTTTGGAGAATGTGGAGTATTATAGTTACCCCATTAACTGAAATGATCAATCAGGTATAGTAGATGTCTGCTACATATTTCTCCCAGAATTTTAGGTTCTTTTTCTTTTTTTTAATGATAAGAAAATGAATAGAAGCTTTAATATGAGTAGATGACAATTACTCAATTCCTGTGTAATTAATAAATATGTATTGTTAGATTTGATGTGATTGAATATTTTTGTAGTTTCCCTGTATTTCTGCCTTATTTGTCAACAAAGTAATAGAAATGATTAGCTCTTATTTCTCCAGTGGTTTATAAAAGGACTTGATTGGGGTTATAAAGTCTTATGTTTACCTGAGCTTTTTTTTTCTTTTTATTATGTATATTTTTGCTTCATGTTTGCTACAGGGACTTTATGTATCCTACTCTGGCCTCCAGCTCTCTGTCTTCTGAACTTTGTCTTCTGATATGTGGGTCCTTTTAGTAGTTGTATAAGTAGGGAACACAATTTTTGGGGGGGTGTGGAGTAACACTGGTTATTGCTCTTTAGTCCAGGTTGGCCATGAACTCAAAAATCTGCCTCAGCTTCCTGAATGCTTAGATTACAATCATGTGTGCCACCATTCCTTGCTAATTATGTTATATTCTTGTGGTCAAGTCATGATTTTGCCAATTTATTCAGTATTCTAAGTTAGCAAGCTAAATCAACTGTTTCTGACATTTTAAGTACTTCTTTCATCAGAGTTGATAATTATATAGCTCAAGTTCACTATTTTTGGAAATATTCTTTGAGCTGAATCCATATAATTCACATGGATATCATATGAAGACACATAGAGTAAGCACATTATTAAAAGATACTCTATAAATAGAAAAATAGTTCACATATCTAAAATCCTTCCTACTCTTGGACAGCAGAAGTTTTTTTGTTTTTGTTTTTTTGGTTGGTCTTGGGGCTTGAACTCTGAGCTTGGGCTCCGTCCCTCAGCTCTTTAGGTCAAGGCTAGCCCTCTACCAGTTGAGCCACAGATAACTTCCAGTTTTCTGGTGGCTAATTAGAGATAAGAGTCTTAAGGACTTTCCTCCCTGTTCTGGCTTTGAACCGTGGTCCTCAGATCTCAGCCTCCTGAGTAGCTAGGATTCCAGGTGTGAGCCACCAATGCCCGGCAGCAGAAGTGTTTTTAAAATCCATACTGTGTGTTTGTAGTAAAAGATTTTGGGAGTTGCTTCTCTTTTAACTGTATTTTTTTTTTTTTTTTTGGTACTGGGGATCGAACCCAGGACGTTGCACTTGCTAGGCAAGCGCTTATGCCACTGAGTTACATCCCAGCCCGAGTTGCTTCTCTTTTAAGGCTTTAAATCAATACATTAGTTTCCACACATTCTAGGAGTAAATTGCTACAACCTGATGATTGAAAAGCAACAGGAGATGGGTGCCGGTGGGTCATGCCTGTAATCCTGGTTATTCTGGAGGCTGAGATCTGAGGATCACCGGTCAAAGACAACCTGGGCAGGAAAGTCTGAGAGAGACTAGAAAACCAAAAATAGTAATGTGGTTCAAGTGGTAGGGTACTCACCTTGAGCTAAAGAGCTCAGGGGGAGTGCTCAGGCCCAGAGTTTATACTTAATGACCAACGGGGGGGGGGGGGGGGCGGGGAAAGCAACAGGAATTGATTGATTGATGGCAACACTGGGATTTGAACTTAGGAGTATTCAGGGTCACTCATTTGGTTGGGTTGACACTCTTACTACTTTAAGCCATACTTTTTAACTGGTTATTTCTGAGATGGAATCTAGCTTTGATCTTGATCCTTCAGATCTCAACCTCCTGAGTAAGTTTATAGTCTTGATGAGTCACTGGCACCCAACTAGGATTTTTTTTTCCAGCAACAAAGAAAAAAAATTTCGTTTCTAATTCTTGGAGTTCATTTCAATAAATATTATTTTGTATGTTCAGATGGACATGGGCATTGTCCTTTGTGCTCCTCGCCTAACAGTATTCTGCTTTGATCTCAACTGTGTGAGTGTCTATTCCCATGTCTCAGTGTATTTTAGAGCTTCCACATATGTGGCTTATCTCACTTAACATGATCTGCTCTTGGTCCATCCATTTCCCTGCAAATGGCATAATATTTTAATAGCTGTGTAAAATTCCATTGTATAGGTACCACATATTTTGGATCTACTCACCTATTGTAGGACATCTGAGCTGTTTCCACAACTTGCCTATTGTGAATAGTGCAGCAATGAACATGAATGTGCAAGTCTCTTGGCTAGTGATATTCTGGGTAGATGCTCAAGAATGCGTGGTATAGCTGGGTCAGAATGCTGTCCAAAGTAGTTAGGAGTTTATCTTTAATATTTTTTTTTCCTTCAGTGTTAAATAAAAGCCCAGGGCTTGGCAAATACTCCTTTGTGGCACCATATCCCTAGTCCCAGTAATAGGAGTTTTATTTTCATAGTTGTGAAGACCAGAAGTCCAAAATCAGTGTATTGGATAGGATTGCTTCTTTCTGGAGCTCCGAGGGACAGTCTATTCCCTTTCTCCTATTGATGGTATCTGATAATCCCTTCAATTTGCCTCATTTGTGTTATCCATATTTCTTCATTCTTTCCCTCCATCTTCACATATTATTCTTCCTCTTGTAATGGTTGTTGAACTCTCCTCTGCTTTTATGTTGATCCAGGTGTGTGTGTGTGTGTGTGTGCGTGTGTGCGTGTGCGTGCGTGTGCGCGCATGCGCGTGCGCGTGCGAGCGCCCACGTGCTAGTACCAGGGTTTGAACTTAGAAACCTGAGTGCTGTCCTTAGAAACATGAGTGCTGTCCTATAGCATTTTCACTCAAAGCTGTTGCTCTATAGTTCTACTTCAGCCATAGTTGAGCCATAGTTCTACTTCAGCTGGTGATTAATTGGAGATACGATGTCATGGACTTTCCTGTTGTGTTGACTTCAAACCTGGATCCTCAGATATCAGCCTTTTGAGATTACAGAGATCAGTCACTGATGCCTGGCAGTTTTCCTCTTTTAAGGATACCATTCATCATATTCAGGTCCACCTCACTCCAATATGACATCATTCATAGGTCTAAAGGTTCGGAATGCAACATCTCTTAAATATATTGTCATGGTAGAGCACATTCTGTGTTAACATAGACCATTAAAGATGCTAATTTGTCATAACTTTATTTTTCCTATTTCAGACCAATGAAGTAAATCAAGGTGATGCCTTAGAACACAATTTTAGTGCCATCTATTCTGCTTTGATTTTGCCAATAAATCATGTTTTTTCAGAACAGAATTTTCCCACAGTAAGTCTGACAAATTTTAACATTTGATTTCTGTGCTGGTACTGTCTCTTAGCTTTTTCATTCAAGGCTTTTGCACAGCTCCACATCTGGCTTTTTGGTGAATAATTGGAGATAACAGTCTCTGGCTTTCAGATCTCAGCTTCCTGAATTGGGATCACAGATATGAGCCCTGTGCCTGGCTCTGTGTTGTTTTTATGTATAAGAAATTTATGCCATTCTCAAAATAATGCCAATATTAAGTTTTCCTAAAACAGCACTTTGATGTGACTTTACTATTAGCATTAGGGAAGGAAAAAGGTAAAAACATCAAGATTCTTTTTACCTTGGGTTCTTTTTTTGTCAGTCGTGGGGCTTGAACTCAGGCCTGGTCGCTGTCCATCAGCTTCAGCTCAAGGCAAGTACTCTACCACTTGAGCCACATGTCACTTCGTTTTCTGGTGGTTTATTGGAGATAAGAGTCAAACTGTCTTTCCTGCCCTGACTGGCTTTGAACTGCGGTCCTCATATCTCAGCCTCCTGAGTAGCTAGGATTACAGGCGTGAGCCAGGGGCGCCTGGCTACCTTGGGTTCTTTTTTTTCTCCTTCGGTCGTGGGGCTTGAACTCGGCTTGGGTGCTGTCCCTCAGCTCTTCAGCTCAAGGTGAGCGCTCTACCGCTTGAGCCACAGCGCCACTACCTTGGGTTCTTAAATTAGAACTTTTAAGGGAGTTGTGTATATTCCCTTATATTCCTCTATGACATCTTAAATATATGTATTTTTAAAGTACATATATATATATATATATGCACACACACACACACACACACACACACATTGTGTGTGTGTGTGTGTGTGTGTGTGTGTGTGTGTGTGTGTGTGTGTGTGTGTGTGCTGTTACTGGGTCTTGAACTCAGGGCCTGCACATTGTCCCTGATCTTCTCTATGAGTCTTAAAGACTTTTCTTCCCAAGCTGTTTTTGAATTGGAGTTCTCAGATCTTAGCCCCCTGAGTAGTTAGAATTACAGTTGTTAGTCACTAGTGCTTGCTTGGCTCTATTTAATAGTTGTTAAAACAAAATGTGAAAGATACATTGGTTCTATTCTATACACCAGTATATATTTATTAAATTCCTTTTATTAGGTCACCATGAAGACATTACTTAGAACTTGGTCAGAATTATACAAAGCATTTGCTCGTTGTGCTGCTTTGGTGGCAACAGCAGAAGAGAATTTATGCTGTGAAGAACTTTCTTCCAAGATACTGTCTATTTTGGAAGATGACATCCTTTTGGTGAGTTGGTCCCAGTATTGACTTTTTTACACTTAAAGGATTCTTGGAAAATGGAGATAAAATTTCAGTTGTAATTATCAATTGATTAAAGAGGCCCAGTTAATATTAAGTAAGTTCACTTTTGTAAACCAGGCTGTGACTTTAAGCTTTTAGATCCTTTTTATGTGGCCATGAGCGTTAAGATTGCTTGCTTGCTTTTTCTTTTTTCTTTCTTTTTTTTTTTTTCTTTTTACTATATACCATTTGGTGCTTAACGTTATTCCAGAGTAACAGTGCCAGGCCTTGGCTGTCTTGGACCTCACTGTTTCATGTTTGTAGTTAGATGTCAAAAGTCTGATTTGTTTGGCAATGATTGTGTTACAGTGAAAGCTAACCAAGAAAACATGACTAAAGTACACACCACCAAAAAACAAAGGCTGGTGCACTACTACTTTAGCCATACTTCCATCTTTTTGATGCTTAATTGGAGTTTCATAGTCTTTTCTTTCCTGATTGGAAAGATTGGCTTCAAACTGGGATCTCAGGTAGCTCAGATGGAGTAGCTAGGATTGAGCAGCTAGGATTATAGGCATGAGCCACATCTCCTTGCAAGCTTATAATAATCTTCACTCAGTAGATCTGGGAAGTTATTTGCAATCTAAATGAGTGCTTGCGTGTCGTTGAAAAATATTCTATTTTTCTAGAAATGAAAACTTCCTAATTTGAGTTCATTTTTACTTGGTTGCTCTAGATTAGGTATGTTTACAATTGCCATATACTTTTATTTTTTTTGTCTGTTGTGGGGCTTGAACTCAGGGCCTGGACACCGTCCCTTAGCTTTTTCATTCAAAGCTCTCCCTCTGAGCCACAATGCCACTCTTTTCTTCTGGTGATAAATTGGGATAAGTCTCTCTGGGACTTTACGCCTTGCTTAGCTACAAATTATGATCCTTAGATCTCAGCCTCCTAAGTAGCTAAGGTCTGAGCCACTCGCACCTGACTGTTGCCATATGTTTGTTACTAAGACTGTTCAGCTGGGCCCCTGTAATCCTAAATACACAAGAGGCTTTTGGTTCGAAACTGGCTTGAGCAGTAAAACCTGTGAGATTCTTATCTCCAGTTAGCCAAAAAAGATGGAAGTGAAGTTGTTAAATCAAGTGGTGGTAGAGTGCTAATTTGGAGCACAAAAACATAGGGACAGCTCTCAGGCCCAGAGTTCAAGCCCCAGGACCAGCACCAGAAAAGCAAAGACTTCCATATGGGGATGCAGGGTAGTGTAGTGTATGTGAGGTGTTTAATTTTTTGTTGTTTCTTCTCCTTTTTCTGGTGCTGTTTCGGGGCTTGGCCTTGGCCTTATGCTCTCATTTGGCCTTTCTCCATTTAAGACGTGCTCTACTACTTGATTCATACCTCTTTTCAGCTTTTTGCTGATTATTTGGAGATAGATTCTCATTGGTTTTCTGTTCAGGCTGATTTCAAACCTCACTCTTCAGACGAGATCAGGGTGGTATGGCCGTAGACTCAAACCTCAGTCTTCAGATCTCAGCCTCCTGAATAGCTAGGATTACAGATATGTGCTTCTAGTGCTTGGCTAATTTGTATTTTAAATTAGAGAACTGGAGTGAAGCTAAATAGCACAGAATATAAACCTGAGAAAAAGCTGTAAGGCAAAAACTTAATATAGCTAATGTGTATGAGCATCAGTACTGGTATTAGAAAAGAAATTAAGCACACGCTTACATTTTTGAGGCTCTAACTTAGGAAGAAAACATGACTGAATTTTAATTGTATTGAGGTATACATTGAAGTGCAAGTAAAATTGCACTAAAAACACCCCTGTTGAAGCTCTAGGAGGAGGATTGGGTACAGGACCAAGGGGATACCAAAATCCTCAAATGCTTATAAAATCCTTTGCATTAAATAATACAGATTCATATGGAACCTACACACTTCCTTCTATACTGTGTATGTGTCTGTGTCTGTGTGTACAGGAAAGTTTGAAAGTGTTTGAACTCCTGGCCTTTTACTCTCACTAGGCTTTTCCACTCACAGTTACGATCTGCCACTTGTCCAGACATTTAGTTCTGACTTTTTCCTAATTTCCTAATAAATTGGAGATGTGCCCAAGATTTGTCTGCCATGTGTGGCTTTGTCCACAGTCCTCAGATATCACTCTCCTGAATAGGGCTGTAGGAGACAGTGGCACCCAACTTCCATACACTTTAAATCATTTAGGTAGGTGCATTAAATATTTCAGTGGAATGTAAATGGTACATACATAGTTATAGTAGTGTTCATTTACAGACTCAGTTTTTTTGCATTATCTGTCCACCTACAGCCACGTATATAATTGCTATTTTAACTGCTGTACAGTTTTCTGTAGTATGACTATACCTACCATTGTTTGAACCGTATTTTAAGGATATTTTAGCCGGGCTCTGGTGGCTCAAGCCTGTAATCCTAGCTACTCAGGAGGCTGAGATCTGAGGATCGTGGTTCAAAGCCAGCCCGGGCAGGAGAGACCGTGAGACTCCTATCTCCAATAAACCACCAGAAAACCGGAAGTGGCGCTGTAGCTCAAGTGGTAGAGCGCTTGCCTTGAGCTGAAGAGCTGAGGGACAGCGCCCAGGCCCAGAGTTCAAGCCCCACGACCGACAAAAAAAGGATATTTTAGTTATTTCCCGTTACTACATATATCATCCCGGTTATTGTCTTCAGAAATAAGATTTATTGTTTTCTCTCCATTTTACTATTTGATACCAAATTAAATAAGAAAGTAATAATTACTTTGTTAAAGTCTTAACTGTAAAAGATGTTAGCTAACAATTGACATATGCTCTTTATTTTTACTTTTTGCTGGTTATGGGCTTGTAGGCCTGAACTCAGGGCAGGGTGTGGGTGCTGTCCTGAGCTTTTGCTCAAAGCTAATGCTCTACTAATTTGAGCCACAGGGCCACTTCTGGTTTTCTGATGGGTAAGTAGAGATAAAGAGTCTCATGGCCTTTCTTGCCCAGGGTGGCTTTGAACCATGACCCTCAGATCTCAGCCTCCTCAGTAGTTAGAATTACAGGTCTAATCTACTGGTTGCCAGCTTTGCAGTGTTTTTATCTGTGTCCTTAACTTTTTTTTGAGACAGATTCTCAGTAGCTTAGTTCTGGCCTTGATATTATAAGCGTGTGCTGCTGTTCTTCATTGTTTTTGAGACAAGGTCTCGATGTAGTTTTGGTCAGCCCACAACTATAGATTCTTCTTCCACAGGTTCACAGTTTTGGGAATGTAGGCTTGTGCCACCATGTTTGACCCTTTATTCTATTTGTGATTTCTTGTGTCTTTCCCCTTTTTTCTTCTAAATCAAGATAATCTTTGAACCTGGCTTTGTTTTTATTTCAGATATATCAGAGAGGATGAAGAAAATATGGATGAACTATTTTTTTCCCATTTTGTATTTAATGAATACTTCTGTAATTATCAAGGGGAATATTAGGAAGAATTAGTTACTTGAGCTGGTGGTAGAGAGCTTGTCTAGGAGCCCGAGCAATGGCACGGGAGCTACAACCTTTTAATTTGAATCTTAAATTATGATTGATATAATGTGTCAGGAAGATGAATATTTCCCCTATGTTGAGGTACATAAATTATGGGAAATATTTTTCAGCATATACTTAGACTTTATGTGGTAAAAAATATGAAATATGATAATTGTGAGATTCCTTCTTGTTGCTTATTTATTGAATATACTAGTACTTTGTAAGCTATACTTGTGCATATGATCCTAGTTACTCAGGAGGCTGAGATCTGAAGATCACAGTCAGCCTGAACAAGAAAGTCCGTGACTCTTATTTCTGATAAACTAAAAAAAAAAAAAGTAGAGCTGTGACACAAGTAGTAGAACACTAGCCTTGAGCAGAAGAAAAGTTTCTAATTATGGTACTTATGTTCTCCCCTAGAATGTGATCTTCTTGGACAGGATTGTACATATTATTACTGTGATGGTTAATTGCATTGACTTTTCACCATATAATAATAAATATCAACCTCAAATTAAGTGTAAGTATTTTTATTACTTTTATTTATCCAATACTGTATAAACAGCTAACCTATGGTTTTATCTATCATATTTTGATTTTTTTTTTTTTTTGTCGGTCGTGGGGCTTGAACTCTGGGCCTGGGCGCTGTCCCTCAGCTCTTCAGCTCAAGGCGAGCGCTCTACCACTTGAGCTACAGCGCCACTTCCGGTTGTCTGGTGGTTTATTGGAGATAGGAGTCTCACGGTCTCTCCTGCCCCGGCTGGCTTTGAACCACAATCCTCAGATCTCAGCCTCCTGAGTAGCTAGGATTATAGGTGTGAGCCACCAGCGCCCGGCTCATATTTTTGATTTTTGATTTTATTTCACTATTTTAATTACTTTTTTTGTTAGAATCTTGTATGCATGTTCTTTCTCCTCTCTCCCCTCCCACCGTCTCCCCTCCCACCGTCTCCCCTCCCACCGTCCCTCCTCTGTTTCTTTCTCAGTTCTCCTTTCTGCCTGTCACATACATTGCACACACCTTATCTTTATTCCTTTCTTAAACATAGAATGGTAAATACTCAATTAGGTTATCTAGTTAATTTCTCCTGATAAATTGACCAGATAAATATTCTTTAAAACATTCTTATTTGGAAGTCTGATTTGAAATAATTATTAACTATACAAAAGAATCATTAATTGGTTACAGTTTGGTAAGATATGTAAAATCCAAGAATTTGACTTAAAATTTTTTTGTTGGTTTTGGTGCTTGAACTCAGAGCCTGGGTGCTGTCCTTGAACTCTGTATCACTTTGCGCCACAGCACCAGTTCTGATTTTCAGGTTGTGAATCAAAGGTGAGCTTGTCATAGATTTTTCTTCCTGGGGCTGGCTTTGAACTGTAATCCTCAGATCTCAGCCTCCTGAATAGCCAGGATTACAGGCATGAGCCACCAACACCTGACTTTATTTTTACATCTTAGTTATAATTAGTTCAAGTTAAAACAAGTTGTCAGATATTTAAAACAACATTCTCTTGTTAATTCTGAATTAAGTTGTAGTTGAATTATTTCAGTCTAGTACTTGATTCTTGTAAAAATAGACTTTTGTTTGTATGTTCTTTCATTAGTGAAAGGCAACTTTTATTGAAAAATGCTAGTATTCTTTTAAAATACTTTGATTTGCCATTGAATGAATTAAAGATTTCCCCTCCCTCCCTCCCTCCCTCCCTGCCTCCCTCCCTCCCTCCCTTCCTTCCTTCCTTCCTTTTTGGGGTCCCGTGGTGGGGTCTGAACTCTGGGCCTGGGCACTGCCCCTCAGCTCTTCAGCTTAAGGCTAGCGCGCTACCACTTGAGCCATATCACCACTTCTGGCTTTTTTTTTTTTTGCTTATGTGGTGCTGAGGACTCTAACCCAGGACTTCATGCAGGCAAGGCAAGCGCTCTACCACTGAGCCATCTTCCCAGCCCTGAATTAAAGATTTCTAAAACATACTGAGAAAATTTCTAAAACATAAGGAAATTTTGAGGGGATTACTTTGCTTTTGTTCTCAGTATAGTAGTAATAGAGAGCAACACATTACGTACAGTAAAAATATGTTTATTTGTAGGGCAGAGTACCTTAGGCTCTATATCATAAAACAGGTTATATATTGTTTGAAATGAATTTCAGCTGACTTCTTGGGCTAATAAGCAGGACTTAATCTTGCTATCAGAAAATGAAATGATTTCTGAATACTGTACATAGCTTACTGCATTATTAGTGTATAAAAAGGAATAGCAGAGATTACTTTGCAAGCCACTGAAGTTCCACAAAGCCCAGTGGATGAGTTTTATAGTTACATAATTTTACCAGTGTTGGTATTTATGAAGAATTACATGTAAATTAGTATTGAGTTTACTCATTATAAACCCTAAGTGAGAAATGTTTCTTAGCTTTCTGAAATATTTTAAGTAGTGTTCCAAGTCAGATGAGTATCTTCCAACAATTTCTTACCTTTTAATTTCTTGTTTACCTAAAGAAATCCAGTAATGGGGCTTGGGAAGGTAGCTCAGTGGTAGAGTGCTCGCCTTGCATGCTTGAGGCCCTGGGTTCGATTCCTCAGCACCACATAAGCAGGAAAAAAAAAGCCGGAAGTGGCGTTGTGGCTCAAGTGGTAGAGTGCTAGCCATGAGCTGAAGAGCTGAGGGACAGCGCCCAGGCCCAGAGTTCAGGCCCCACAACCCCCCCCCCCCCCAAAAAAAAAAAAAAAAGAAAAGAAAAGAAAAGAAAGCCAGTGACTGCCTTGCTGCTTAAATTTATTCAGTGAGATTTGGAATATCCATGAATAGAAATAGAAAATTAAGGGTTTCAGAAAGGAAATTGTTACTATTCCATAGTGTAGTAAGGTCAAGTTGGGAATTGTGGGTGACTTATTTTGTAATAATTTTAAATTCACAGAAACACAGTAATCAATTCAATTATGTCTTAGCACCACAGAGATCTTCAGATTGGTCCAAAAAGAAGAAAGAACCTCTAGGGAAATTAGCTTCATTGTTTAAGATGCTTGTGAGAATTATGTGTTCTTTCCATACTCTGAGCTTCAAGGAAGGACATTCTGATACATTGCTTGCGATTGGAAACTCAATCATCAGCATTCTTTCCAATGTACTTGGACATATTTCTCTGCCTTCTGTGATTCGGAATATGTTTGCAACTTTAATAAGACCTGTGGCATTATTTTATGAAAATTCAAAGTAAGTATTTTGGCTTAGTTTCTGAATTAAATGTATATAAGCAGCATTTTCTCTTGAGCTCTGTTTTTATGGGATTCTAATCTTGATCATTTTTGTTTTTGTTTTTTTTTTGAGTCCGGTTGTCGGGGGCCTGAACTCTGGGCCTGGAAGCTGTCCCTCAGCTCTTCAGCTCAAGGCTAGCGCTCTACCACTTGAGCCACAGTGCCACTTCTGGCTTTTTTCTTTTTGCTTACGTGGTGCTGAGGAATCGAACCCAGGGCCTCATGCATTGCAAGGCAAGCGCTCTACCCCTGAGCCACCCTCCCAGCCTAATCTTGATCATTTTTGTTGACAGGTCATTTAGAAATTTTGTTTGTTTTTTAATTAATCCTAGTCCCCTTCAATTTACTGCAGTATTTTCCATTTAGTTTGTAATAGAAATAGAAAGTAGAATTGACATGCTACTTACTGTACAATTGTGTAAATAGGCACTTAATATATGTGTATATTTTCCACCAGATACATGAAAATCTCACTATATGTCTGCATAGTATTTCATTAAATAGAGTAGACATGTTTTTTATTCCTTTTCCGCCATAGCAGCATATGAACATAATTTATATGTAATCATTACCTGCATTGTCCCCTGGTGTAGAATCTGATTCTTTTCATGAAATGTGGAGACTGATATCTGTAAGCGAAGCTACTCTTCAGGTTTGAGAGCTTCACGATTGCCATTTGAGGCCAGGTCTGGCATAAATTTCCCCCCATCTCAATAAAAAGTGATGCTTAGCTGGGTGTCTGTGGCTCATGCTTGCAATCCTACTAGCTACAGGAAGCTGAGATCCTGAGGATCATGGTTAAAATCCAACCTGGGCAGTAAAGTCCCTAAGATTCCTATCTCCATTTAACCACCAGAAAGCCAGAAAGTAAAGCTGTGGCAAGTGGTAGAATATTAACCTTGAGCCAAAAACTCAGTGAGAGCACCCAGACCCTGAATTGAAGCTCTAGGACTGGCACAGAATAAAAGCACTAAGCTAGATGGTATGTACCTGTCATCCCAGATAGAGGGAAGCATAAAGAGATCTCAGTCCAGGATTTCCCTGGCATACACAGGGCATCGTATTAAGAAAAAATAAAAACAAAAGCTGCTTTGGTTTTGATGTATATGATTCAAGTGGTACAATTTTTGCCGAGCACAGTGTTAAGATCCCAAGCTCAAACCCCAGTTATTACCCCCTCAAAAGGTGATAAATTACAAAATTGCCCTCTAAAAGTTTGAATTAATTTCATGATCTTTTACTTTTGAAAGGAAGCAGGTAATACTTTAGATGCAATGATCCCGGGTATAACAAGCTTTTATGATTTCAAACATTAAAGCTTATATATAAATCAACTTGCAGAGGAAATTCCAAGACATAATTTATACTGTGTGCAGCTTAACCCCAAATCCACAAACTTCATACCTCTGCAAATCTTGGGTCCTCTTCAATACCAAGTAGCTAGTATGACCACTTTAAGGTATGACCTTGATTATTACTAATATTTTTGTTGTTGTTGTTGGTCATTTGGTTTGGACTCTGGGCCCAGGCCCGGGCCCTGTGTCTGTGAGCTCTTCAGATCAAGGCTAGCACTCTACCACTTCAACAGCGTCACTTCTGGTTTTCTAGTGGTTAATTGGAGATAAGAGTCTCACTGACTTTCCTGCCAGGGCTGGCTTTGAACCATGATCCTCAGATCTCAGCCACCTGAGTAGGTAGGATTACAGGCATGAGCCACTGGTGCCCCGCTGCTTTCATTTTTAAGATAGATTTGACTCATGCTTAGCAATTTTACTCTTTATATTTGGAATGTTTTATATTATCAAAGGTCTGTTACTTGTTTTTATGATTGTATTGCCTCATTTTTAAAGTTTGCTAAATAAGAGGGGACTTCCTGAAATAGTCACTGCTATTTGTTTTATATATTTTTCTTCCTAGGCTTGATGAAGCTCCTAAAGTATATAGTTGTCTGAACAACAAGGTAAAAATAGACAATTGTACTTCAAACTTTCATGATGAAAAACAGGCAGTCTTTCTTAACATAACTGTTAATTTTTAAATGGATTTTATTACTAGTTTTTAATAGGCACTTAATACACACGAGCATATTCACATTCCTTAAAAAGTAACTTTAAATTCATATAATTAAGTCATAACTCATCTCTATATTAAAGTAGTTTTTAATAAGATTTTGTATGTGAAATTTATTACAATTGATGTAAAATATTACCTTTTTTGTTAAAAATAAATCTGTAGTATTCATAAGCCATGCAAACTTGTAATTTGTCAGTTTATTAGAGATTATATATTTTTCTTTTCAAATTTTAAAAATAGAAACAATATGCAACTTGATACTAAAATATACTTTTCTCTTTTCCTAGTTGGAAAAGTTACTAGGAGAAATTATTACTTGTCTACAGTTCAGCTACACTGGAACTTATGATACTGAACTTCTTGAACAGCTTTCCCCACTGCTGTGTGTCTTATTTCTGCATAAGAATAAACAGATTCGGAAACAAAGTGCTCTGTTTTGGAATGCCACCTTTGCTAAAGTGACAGGGTTGATTTATCCTGAGGAATTGAAGTATGTTATGTTAGCAATAAAACTTGTTATAAGTATTCTATTATAATTTAAATTGGTGTTACAATATTAACATGAACTTTTCTTATGGGAAACTGGAGAGGCTTTCTTAGTTTCATATTTGGGGTATGTGGCATTCATTAATTAATTCTTTTTTTTAACTTTTGGGCTTTAGACTAACTTCAATTTTAGGACCATGGAAAGTAATTAAAATTAATTCTTCCCCTTTGGTGTAGAATGGGAAACATTTCAGATTTCCCTTGCTATGTAGCTTAGGCTGAGTTGGAACTTGCCAGAATGCCCAAACTGTCCTCAATCAAATTCATGGTTTTCCTGAGTTACTAGGATTACAAACATGTTACTACTATGCTTGGGTACTTATCTCTTCTTTCTTCTTCCTCCATCTCCTTTCTTTTTTCTCTTTTTCCCTTAGGGGAGGAATAATAACTTTTCAAAATTACAATTGTTTTATTTATTGGTCCTCTAGTTGAACTCTGTATCTGACTCTTGTTGTTAGCTGGTGCTCTTACCACCTGAGCCATGCCCCTAACCTCACTATTATTGTTAATAAAAAGACAAGGGTAGAAATTTGGTGGCTATTAAAGGTACACATGGGTAGTTAATATTTTGCTCCTGTTAGATATTTTTTCATGGTAAATAGAAATTTTGGAGGGCTTTTTTAATGAAGAAAAACTTGCAAATTTAAAAAGTATTGAGAAAAAAATAATACTGTATGATTTTCTCCACTTATAAACGTTAGTAAGAAATTTAGTCCTTAAACCAGTCTTCCTGCTTAATAGTTATAGTAAAGCAATCTTGGTAACATGAAAGTTCAGTACACGTGATATATATATGTGTGTGTGTATATATGTATATATATCTATATATGTATATTTGTGTGTGTATTTGTACTTTTTTAAAGACCAATATTAAGAGAAGCCAAACCAAAACTTCTGCTTCTGTTGCCTGGTTTGGAAACAGTTGAAATAATGGAAGAATCCAGTGGACCATATTCAGATACAGTAAGTTGATGGTTATTATTTGCCTTTTGAATGTAAATGCTTACTTGTGATTAACAAGGAGAAAAGTGTTCTAAAATTTAAATTTATATAAAGTATTAGATTATCAAATGATCATTTTTTAAAAAATCAAATAAGTGCTTGGAAGTAAACATATGAAAAAATAACTTTTTGTATGAGGCTTGAACTTGGGGATAGGCACTGTCCCTGAGGGTTTTTTTTGCTTAAGAGTAATGCTATAACGCTTGAGCCACTGCTTCATATCTGGCTCTTTGGTGATTGGCTGATTGGCAATAGGCATCTCATGTACTTTTCTGCCCAGGCCTTCAAAAGGCCTTTTCAGCCTCTTGAGTAGAGTAGCTAGGATTACAGCCATGAGACACTGGTACCTGGCTTCAAAAATGTCTTTTCTCATGACATGTTTTCTCTTAGCATTTATTTTACTTAAAATTAACTTCATCATTATACTGTGAAACATGATTTTGAAATAGTGTATTTGCATACTTGACAACATAGTATCAGTCGTCTGGTTTGAAAAGCCTTGGAGGAGGCACTATTTAGGACTTGATCCCAGGGTTTTCTGCATGCTATTGTTATATGACTGAACTGTGCCTTCACTTTCATTCCATCACTGCCTTCTCCCTTTTACATTTTATTTGGAGCTCAGGTTTAAGTTGCCTGGACTGGCCTTGAATTTTGTGATCTGCTTACCTCAGTCTCCAAGAAGCTCGTATTACAGCTTTGTACCATTATGCAAGGCTTTAGCCTGAAGTACTTTCATGAATTAAGGGCAAAAGTTGTCACTAGATATCTCACATAACTAACCTCAAACTCAAGCCTCTTTTGAAATATATTGTTCAAATACTAGACTAGATATTGCTTTAAAGAAACTACAAATAATATTTCTAGTTCATACCTAAACAAGAATCACCCTTCATTTTTCTCATTTTTGGAAAAAAAAGTACAAAACATATTTTCTGTCATATCACTCATTAGGACCAAGGCTACTATAACTAATATTTGATTACTATTAGAAGATTTGAATCTACCTACATATCGATACCATGCATTTGTAAAGTAGTAGAGCCTTACAAAAAGTTTCTGTTCAGCACCAGGTAATGCCTGCTCTTTTTTCCTTAGAAATGTAATAGCTAAGTACTCTTTTAGTTTTGGCTGAAGTAAAAACTTCTCAAGAGATAAAGTCAGACATGATATATTTATGGTGTGAAGGGAAATGCCCTTGATATATAACCTCTGTTCTACATGTTTTAGTAACCTTTACTTTTTCTTTTTTATCAGTATTGGCATTTGAACTCAAGGCCTTGAGCTTGCTCAGCCAGCACTGTCACCTGAACCACACTGCTTTTGGTGTTACAGGCTTTTTGCTTTTTTTTTTTTTTCAATACTGTAATTTGAACTGAAAAGCAGAGAAGGGTTGTAGGTCTTGGTCTTGCTAGAGAAGTAGTCTCATTTGATCCATAAGCAAAGGACTTTTTCCTCCCCGCCGCCTCCCCTGTTTTCAGACATAGTCTTGTTTACTGAGGCTAACCTGAGCCCAAGATACTATATGCTTCAGGTCCCATGACCAAAAAAAAAAAGATACTATATGCTACTTATCTGGGATGTCAGGCTTACCCTAACACATTCAGCTAATTCTTGATATAGTTTTGCTAACTATTTCCCCCTCATCCTGGCCTGGAATTAAAACCTGATTTCTACCTTCTGTGCCAGAACTATACAGAGCCAACCATGAGCCAAAAAGCTGAGCTGAGCATTCAAGCCCTAGTTCAGGCCAGAAAATATTTTTAGCAATACATGCATGATTCCAATCTAATGATTTGATTTGCTTTGTAGTTTTTATGTCGTATTTCTTATTTTCAAAAGTTTATAAATCTAAATGATTCAAAGTAGTTATAAAAATGAAGACAGCTATATAGATCGTGGCTTTCCTTAGCCTTTGTTTTTAATAGGCTTTAATAGTCTGGAGAAATTTGATATTATTTGCAGTAGACACTAAACAAATTTTCATAATGAAAAGCAAGCAGTAGAGTCCTCCTTAATTGTTGTACCTTGTACAAAACAGGCAGGAAATTCACAATTAAATGTGAAGATAAGTGGCATGGAAAGAAAATCAAGTGGAAAAAGAGACTCCTTTTTGGCACAAACAAAGGATAAAAAAGAAAATATCAAACCATCAGCCAAAGTATGTTTACAAAAGTATATTTAGCAGATTTAGAAAATATGTGATAGCCTAAAGGCATGTAACTTATTTGCAAGATTGCACTGCAATATTGGAATAAAAGATGGGATTGTGTTGGGTATATAGAGGATGATTAACAAGTTTTAGAATGCTAGGATGGCTTGTAAATCTGGATGTTTTGGGTGATTTTTTAGTAAAGGAAAAGCTGCAATAATTAGTTTATGTAGTAATTTTACTCTGTGTAAGTTATAGAACTTGGAGTTCATTTATAATTGTTTAAGATACTATAATGAATGGGCAAGGAATAAGAGTAGAATTAAACACAAAACAAAAGGAATTAGGATAAGATTATGTAATTATATATGTCAACACCTTGCAGTCAAATATAGCATATTGGTTTGTTTTTTATTATAATATATATGTTTACAGAGGAATTTTACAATTTACATGTTAGGTAATGAGTACATATAAAAATCTATTGTTATTATAAAGTGATGTAGAGATGTGTTACAGTTAACAGAAGTCAGGTAATACATTCTTTTTGGACAGTGTTATCCCTTCCCTCGCTCTCTCCCAGTTTTTCCCTCCCATCCCCACCTACAAGTTGTATAGTTCATTTTCAACATAGTGTCTAGTAAGTACTACTGCTGCATTTGTTCACCCTTTCTCTCTCCTTTTCTGTGTCCCTCCTTACCCTCCCAAAGACAGATAAATGAACAAACAAGACAAAAAGAGAACATCAACAAGAACAACAACAAAGAAAAACTCTTGTTTCCATTCCCTGGAGTTAGAACTTAGTGTTTTGAATAGAAAGAAGTCAGGCCTAGATAAAACATCAATCGTAACCTCACAGAATTGCATCCTGAAAAGAGGCCTAAATAGTTTTTCTTTCCTCAGTATTTATTAGAGGTAGGAAAAGTGAAGGACATTGATTTGAATATTGTATGGGGAAAAGTGTGCTGATGATGAGTTTGAACCTAGCCTGAACTACATAGTATGTTCCAGGCCAGACCAATGAGATTGTTGTGGATGGATAGATGGAGATAGAATAGACTTGAACTTCAAACTTGTATTCACTATAGGATTTATGGATGTATACATTTGTAATTTAATGATCTGGAAACTCAGGTACATTTGCTTTTCTTAAATCAACAGCTGAAACTTGAATCTTCATCTGCAAAAGTAAGAAGTGGAATGCTTTTAGAAGAAGAAAAGTCTACTGACTTCGTTTTTTTTCCCCCAGAAGAAAAACAGGGAAAGGAAAGAATACTAACTGAACATCAAAAAGAAGTACTCAAAACAAAGAGGTTTGTAGGACTTTCATTTTCAATTTTATATATTTAGATATTATGAAGCACTATAGCTTTGTGGTTAAGACTTAGGTGTGTACATGCTAAATTGGCTTTTGCTTTTTTGTTTGTTCTGGGAATTGAATTCAGGATTTTGTACATGCTCTAGGCAAGTGTTACCCTGCTGAGTTGCATTCCCAGCCTGTGTGTACTAAATTTCATTAGTGTAAGATATGTTGTATATAATGTATAATGTGTAATTTGATTAAAGAGCCGTATAAGGAAGGGTACCTTATCTTTATAAACTGAGCTTCGTTGAGGTAGGGAAGACAGTTTCCTGGAAAATGGTCACCTGGCTTTGTTATTTTTTAGTATATCAGTTTTGTAGAATTATAAATTTAATTTCTAAATTGTGGTAATGTCACCAGCCTTTTGTAATTATACAACTCTTACCCCTACCCCTAGGTACGATATTCCTACCATGTATAATAATCTGGATGTTTCACAAGATACCTTATTTTCCACTCAATTTAGTCAAGAAGACTCGATGTAAGTGTGGAATTTTAAAAACTAGCTTCCTTACTTTTGGGCGGGGGGGGAGGGGGCAGTCATGGGGCCTGACCTTTGGGCCTAGGCACTGTCCCTCAGCTCTTCACCTCAAAGCTAGTGCTCTACCACTTGAGCCACAGAGCCACTTCCAGCTTTTTTCTTTTTTGCTTATGTGGTGCTGAGGAATCGAACCTAGGGCCTCATGCATGCAAGGCAAGTGCTCTACCACTGAGCCACCTTCTCAACCCCCGCTTCCTTACTTTTTGAATGAAGTGAATCTAATCTCTGCATTCATTTATCTCAGGCTAACACCTACCTTAACAGAAATATCAACGGAAGATCCGAAGATGATAAAGGTATGCCTAGTATTCTTTCAGAGTTTTTAGTTTCCTCTCCATTTCAGAGTTGCTTCAATTTTTTAGAAGGCTGTTGATAGGCCTTTATTTTAAGATGAGTTGTAGAATCTCCTGATAATTCAAATAGAATTGTAGTATCTATTTTTTTTAATAAATGTATATGATTTTAAGTATTTAAAATTAGAAACTCAGTTATTTGCCCTTTTAGAGTATTTAACTGTGTATTAAAAGCTAGTGTTTAACTTTGTATTTGGTGGTATTTGTGGTAGTACTAGGGTTTGAACTCAGAGCCTTACTATGCTTCAGCTTCACCCAGTGATTATCTTTCTAATAACCAAAGTTGGGTACTTAAATTTCCCTAGAAAATAAATGTTTGCTGATTAATCTGTATGTTTATGTATTTCTTTTCAGGAGGAGAAAGTGAAAATGGAGAGTAAAGTTGTCACAGAAAACTGTGGTATAGGCGAACATCTCCAAAAGGCTTCTTTGTGTGTTCCTGAAACAAACCCAGAAATACTGAGTAATAATAATGATGACAGAGAAATCACTTCCATTTCATCAAAGAAGACTTCAACTGAATGTACACCTAGCGTGGAAAACTCATTTGTTGTCAGCAGTAACTCAGTTTCTAATTCCACTATTTCTGGGACGCTCCCTCAGCCTACAAGTAGGAGGCAGACATTTATCACATTGGAGAAGTTTGATGTTTCAGGAAATAGACCTTTTAGTCCATCAGCTTTAAATAATATTTCATCAACTGTTGTAGTGAAAACTAACCAGGAAAACATGAGTAAAACAGACACTCCACCAAAAACAAAGAAAAGAGAAGTAACTAATTCTCAGTCTGATACTGAAAAAATAGTGAATGGAATTAAGAGATTAGGCCGGAGATCTAGTAAAGTGGAACCGTCAGAGAATAAAAGATCTGATCCCTTAGTAAGAACTCAACCAGAGGAACATACTCAGGAATCTACCAAAGGCCTGGTAACCTTAGAAAATAACTTGTCCAATGTGGTTAATTCAACAGGGTGTATGTCAGGTAGCCCAGTTCATTCTCCTGAATCTACAGTGGAGTATGAAGATACAAAATCTAAGCCAATAACAGAAAATACTATATTGGAAAATAGTACTACAACAGGAAGTACTATATTGGAAAACAATACTACAGAAGAGAAAAACATAGGGGTAAATTTAGAATCCAAAGAAAATACACCACCTGCAGTAATACCATCAGATCAAATGGGAAATGAAGATAATCAGGTTCAGATAGCTCAAAATCCAAAAATCCTTAGACGATCTTCAAGGCTTCGTTCCGAAACAGTGGAGTCTATAATTGATAGCCAAGATAAAGAAAATAGTCTTCAAAAAAAGGAAAGACATAAGGAAGAAGAAAAAACAGTTCCGAAGAATCCAGCGCAAATAAAAGAGGATACGTTACATAAAGAAAAACTGACTTCTGAACAAACTGTACAGGAGAATCTAATTGAGAATGGTGATTTACATGAGAGTACTTGTGAAACCAGTGCTAATGCTGAAATTGACCAAAATAAAAGAAAACAAGATCTTGTGAATAATAGTACTGAGGGGCATGGTAGCCAAGACACTGTAGACAAATCATTTGAGAAGCCTTTAAGGGGACGAACACGTTACCAAACAAGAAGAGCATCTCAGGGGTTGCTTTCTAGCATTGAAAACTCAGAATCTGATAGTTCTGAGGCAAAAGATGAAAGTTGTAGAAAGAGGAGATCTGGAAAATGGAAAAACAAAAACAGTGACAGTGTTGACTTAGAAGAACAAGAAGAAAGAATAGAAGAGGACAGCTTAAAAATTGAAAATCAGTTGCATGATCATAAACCTGTTTCTGTAGCAGACATAGAAATAAAATCCCAGGTTTGTGAAAAAGATACAAGTAGTACTGTAACACTCCAGGATTCTACAGTAGCTTCAGATTTATTGCAAGTTTCTAATGACACACCAAATAAACATGAAGGAAAAAGTAAAAATGGCAAATCTGCAAAACTCTCCCTTGCAAGTCCATCTATACCAGAATCACCTCTAAGGACTAGAAATGCCAGTAAAAAATTACATAAGCAAGATTCTGATACTAGTATGAAAGAATGCTCAAAAACAGAGACTTCAAACATGTCTGTGATTTCCAAAAAGATTGTCTCAAAACTTGAATGCCACCATAAGAGAAGTCGGAGGGTGAGGAGATGTAAAGCTTGTGACTGCTGTGGGGAAAAACCACAACCTCAGGAAAAATCACTCATTGAATTAGAGAACACAGAAAATTACGGTACGAAGATTGAAACAACAAAACCCGATGTCCACACACCTGAGACTAGAACAGAAGCAGAGACTAGAACAGAAACCTCTAATACGTGTGAAGTAAGAATTTTAGATGAGCATCCCCGTGTGAATTTTCATTTCAGTCTTGAAGAGGAGAATGGTACTATTAAGGATTCATTGATTGTGTCTGAAACAAACTTGGAAGAAAGTGCTCATAAAGTTGTCCCTTCTGAAACCTCAAATAAGGAAGAAGTAACTCCCCACATAGATTCTAGGGAAGCAGTATCTCCAAGCAAAGAGCCATCTAATAAAAGATTTAAGGGCATGGACCCATGTTTAGATGATGACAAGGATATTTTACAGGAAAATTCTTTAGATGCTCAAAACCCAGAAACTTCCCCCAAAAGAGAACTGAGTGATATAAATGATGACAGAATTACGTGCACAGGAATAGCAGAACCCAGTGCAGAGGAAGTAGAAGCTATGGAAGTGAGTAGTATAGAAGAAGATAAAATTGAATCTAGCTACTTGGAAAAAGAGAGTGCCAAAATTGATACTCCTGAATACGAGGCAACAGAAGAAAATAAAAGTGGTGAACCCAAAGCAGATAGATTGGAAGAACTGAGTGTTGCAAAAGCAGTGGCTGAGGATTTAAATTCATGTATTGGTCTTTCTGAAAATACCACACCTGAAAATATGAATACCCATACTGGGATTTCTGACCAAATAGAAGGGAAGCAAAGTAGGAATAATGTATCTGATTCATGTTTGGAATCTGAAGAAATTAATGTTGAAGAGAATGAGGGAAAAATGATGGGTCAGGTAAATACTGAAATTCATGGTGTCAAGGAAACAGAGGACAAGGACTTGACTCAAGAATCCTCTCCATCAAAAGAAGCTGAAACCGAAAGATTAAACACAGAGCCTGACAACTTTATTCCTAACACAGTTGAAATGAGCGTGGAAGAAGGAAACATTGCCTCAAATGAAACTGAAACAATTGAAACAGGTACTGAGCTTAATAAATGTGAGGAAACAAAATTGGAAGACAATCAGCTGGAAGTAGGAAATGATACTTTGCAAGAAGTTTACATTTCAGAGAAAGTGAAGGAGCCCTCACAATCTTCACCTGAAATAACTGTCTCTGAATTGATAACACAAAACAACGTGTCTCCTGAAAAACAAAAGGAATTTGATCATTTACTCGTGTCAGCCAACGAAAGCCCTACTGGTGTGCAGACACGCTGTGTCTGGTCTCCTTTAGCTTCTCCATCCACTAGCATTTTAAAGAGAGGATTAAAAAGACCCCAAGAAGATGAAGTCTCATCACCTGTTAACAAGGTAGGAAGACAAACACTGAATATTAATGTGTTAACATTTAGTCGGAATAGTTAGCTGTACAGTGACAGCTAGTGAGTGATAGAATTTTAGGGTTATATGTCCATTTTTTATATTTTTTTGTTTTTGGCCGGTCATGGGTCTTGAATTCTGGGCCTGGACGGTGTCCTTCAGCTCTTCATGTCAAGGTGAGTGCTCTACCACTTGAGCCCTGGTGCCACTTCTGGTTTTCTGGTGGTTAATTGGAGATAAGAGTTTCATGGACATTCCTGCCTGGGCTGGAACCTAGATCCTCAGATCTCAGCCTCCTGAGTAGGATTACAGGCATGAGCCACCAGCACCTGTCTTTGTCCATTTATTTTTATCACTACCATGGTTGTGGAAAAGGGCTGAAAAGACAGTCTCTTCGGTGTTCATTTTGCAAATTAAAGGAATTTTATATAGGTGTGCATGTTGTTCACCTGTGGCAAAATGCATAAGATTTCTTACGATCTTTTGGTTCATCATACCTCAAACTATGTGATGAAACAAATATAGGAAGCCAGGGAACACTTAAGTGCCATTGACAGCATTTTCATCACTTTAATGTGTTCTGGGGCATAGTGATAGTTCGCTTAAGTACCCATGTAAAGTCTTTTTTTTTTTTTTGTCGGTCGTGGGGGCTTGAACTCTGGGCCTGGGCGCTGTCCCTCAGCTCTTCAGCTCAAGGTGAGCGCTCTACCACTTGAGCTACAGCGCCACTTCCGGTTTTCTGGTGGTTTATTGGAGATAGGAGTTTCATAGTCTCTCCTGCCCGGGCTGGCTTTGAACCGCGATCCTCAGATCTCAGCCTCCTGAGTAGCTAGGATTACAGGCGTGAGCCACCAGCACCCGGCTCCCATATAAAGTCTTAATCTAATTAACTTTTTTCTTTTTCTAAAAATAGTTATTATAAAGTTGATGTAGACAAGGATTGTAGTTAAATAAAGCAGATAGAGTGCTTTGCTTTTTTTGGGGGGGGGGGGAGGGGAGTGGGTCCCGTTGTGGGACCTGAACTCTGGGCCTGGGCACTGTCCCTCAGCTCAAGGCTAGCGCTCTACCATTAGAGCCACAGCACCACTTCCGACTTTTTCTTTTTGCTTATGTGGTGCTGAGGAATCGAACCCAGGGCCTCTTGCATGTAAGGCAAGTGCTCTACCACTGAACCACCTTCCCAGCCCCGAGTGCTTTTCTTTTTGAACAGTGCCACCCTCTTTCCTGGCTCTCCTCAGTTTTACTTCCCAACCCCACCTACAAGTTGTGTAGTTCATTGTCAACATAGTGTTTAGTAAGTACCACTGCTTCATTTGTTTACCCTTTGTCTCTCCATCGCTGCCCTCCTCCCCCCCACCTGTTTTTAAATGCTGTCTGCCCTTCTCCCCCAACACCTGTTTTTAAATGGTACTGGGGATTGCACCCAGGGCTTTGAGTATACTAGGCAAATGTTATACCTCTTTTAATTTTTATTTTTTTTATCAATCCTGGGGTTTGAACTCAGGTCCTGGGCACTGTCCCTGAGCTTCTTTTTGCTCAAGGCTAGGACTCTGCCACTTGAGCCTCAGTTCCACTTCAGGCTTTTTCTGTTGAGGAATCGAACCCTGGAGTTCATGTTAGGTAAACACTATCACTAAGCCACGTTCTCAGGCCCCCCTCCCCCCTTTTTTTTTTCTTTGGTCAGTCGTGGGGCCTGAACTCTGGGCCTGGGCGCTGTCCCTCAGCTCTTTAGCTCAAGGCTAGCGCTCTACCACTTGAGCCACAGCACCACTTCACTCTCTCTGCTTATGTAGTGCTGAGGAATGGAACCAGGGCTTCATGCATGCTAGACGAGCACTCTATCACTGAGGCACCTTCCCAGCCTCCACTCTCCCCCCCCCCCCTTTTAAAATTTTTAAAAATTGTATTTATAAAGGTGCTGTACAAAGAAGTTAAAGTTACATAAGTCTGGTAAAGAGTACGTTTCTTTTTGGACAATGTCATCCCTTCCCTCCCAGTTTTTCCCTTTTGTTCTCTCTCTTTTTTTTTTTTTAATGGTTCTGGAGATTGTATCCAGGGCCTTGAGTATACTATGTTAAGTGTTTTATATCTTGAACCATGCCCCAGCTCTGACCTCTCTTTTTAGCTACATCTATAGCCCTTGGCTTTTTGACACAGAGCCTTGAATTCTCCTGCCTCAAACTCATAGTGTGCTGGGGTCAACACAAACCTGTGCTGTTAATGTGCAACTTATTTGTTTTTTGTTGTTGTTGTTGTTTTTGGGCAGCGTCAAATTTTGGGTTGTGCTAAATGAACTATACATGTACATTGACAGTTTAAGAAAAATTAAATATGTATATAAACATGATGGATTAGTTACTGCTTTTGGTGGGAGGCACGCTAGTCCTGGGACTTGAACTCTGGACCTGTCTGCTGTCCCTGAGTGTTTTTGCTTGAGCTAGCACTCTATATAACTTGAGCTAAGGTGCTACTTTCACCTTTTTCTGTGGTTAATTGGAGTTAAGAGTCTCATGGATTTTCCTGCTCAGCCTGCCTTCTGGCTTGGAAAGATCTCAGCCTCCTGAGTAGCTAGGATAACAGGCTTGAGCCACCAGGCCTGACTTAGCTAACATTCTTAGAACTTCTGTGTACGTGTTTGATTGGCACTAGGGTTTGAACTCACTGCTTTATGTTTAATTAGGCAGTTGTTTTTTTTACAACTTTTCAGTTTTCCAAGATACAGTGAAAATTTTTTCTCTGAGAATTGAGAGATTACCACATTAGATGGTTTTGTTTCTACTTTAGAAACTTTTACTCTTTTTGAGATAGAATCTTGTGAGAAATCCAGGCTGGTCTCAAACCCATGATCTTCCTTGGCCTTCTGAATTCTGGGATTCCAGGCATGTACACATTGAACTCAGGGATATGACATAATGTCTGTGTCCATCTGTGGGCATATGTTCATCCATCTGCCCTGGGCCTTGAACTCAAGGCCTGGGTACTGTACTTGAGCTTTTTTGCTCAAGGCTAGCTCTCTGCCATTTGAGCTACAGCTCCACCTTCCCAGGTTTTTGGTAATTAATTGGAAATAAGAGTCTCACAAACTTTGCTTCCCTGACTGGCTTTGAACCCAAATCCTCAGAGTGCAGCCTCCTGAGTAGGATTACAGATGAGCTACCAGTGCCAGTCTGTAGTGGTTTCTTTTGTTCATTTTTCTTCTCTCATTTTGTTCTTTATTATCTTCAAATAGAAAGCTATTTATTATCTTCAAACAGTTGCGCCAGAAGGGTTTCAGTTTAACATGTCTATTTATTATGTAATGCCCTTGGTTGAAGTCAGGCCTTCCCACCACTTTCTTTACTCAAATCTTTTTTTTTAAACATTTGCTCCAAGGTATTTTTTTAATATTTTTTTTTACTATCTTTAAGTAGTTGTACAAAGGAGTTGTAGTCAACAAAGCAGTTTATGAATAGAATACATCTTTTTTTTTTTTTTTTGTCGGTCATGGGGCTTGAACTCTGGGCCTGGGCGCTGTCCCTCAGCTCTTCAGCTCAAGGCGAGCGCTCTACCACTTGAGCTACAGCGCCACTTCCGGTTTTCTGGTGGTTTATTGGAGATAGGAGTCTCACGGTCTTTCCTGCCCGGGCTGGCTTTGAACCGCGATCCTCAGATCTCAGCCTCCTGAGTAGCTAGGATTACAGGCGTGAGCCACCAGCGCCCGGCTTAGAATACATCTTGACTTTGTTGTTAACCAGTCCTGCAGCTTGAATTCTGTCTGGGCCCTGTCCGTGAGCTGCTTTGCCCAAGGCTAGCATTCTACCACTTGAGCCAAAACTTCACTTCTGGCTTTTTCTATTTATGTGGTACTGAGGAATGGAACCCAGGGCTTCATGCATGGTAGGCAAGCACTCTTCCACTAAGCCACATTCCCACCCCATGTCATTTCTTTCCATCATTTTCCTCATCCCTTCTAACTCTACTCCTTCCCTTGAGTGTTGTAGGGTATTCATTGAATTTTATGACTGCATTGTCCCCTGCTGCCTCTTTTCCTTTATCTCCCTCCTTTTGACCTGTCCCCCTTTTGAGTACTAGTTTTCCTGGTGTTTATGAACTGTGGCTTAGCCTTTCTAAGGAATTACATCATTTTGGCTTTTATTTTGAGTTTCTGTTTTTTTATTTTTACTAAAATTTTTCATTATGAATGTGGTGTACAGAGAGGTAAAGAGTACATTTCCTTTTGGACAATGTTACTCCTTTGCTCGCTCGTTCCCAGTTTTCCCTCCCATTCCCACGCACATGTTGTATAGTTCATTTCCAACATAGCGTACTGTGTACTTGTACTGGGGCTTGAACTCAGGGCCTGAGCTTTTGTGCTCAGGGCTAGTACTCTGCTACTTGAGCTACAGCTCCATTTCTGGCTTTTTGGTGGCTAATTGGAGATAGTCTCATGGACTTTTCCTGCCTGGTCTAACTTTGAACCAGGATCCTCAGATCTTAGGCTCTTGAGCAGCTAGGATTATAAGTGTAAGCCACCTGTGCCCAGGTGTCTTTAAGATTAGTAGACTGTATTCTTGAAGAACACTTACATGAAAGTAAGATACATTAAAATGGTCCAAAATGACAATATCCTTGTTAAATATTACTCAAATTCTTACAGGTTAGCTATTTTTTTAAAAAAAAATTGTTCTGGAGGCGATATACAGCAGAGATACCTTTACATACATCAGATATTAAGTACATTTCTTTTATATACCATATGAAAAGGTGAATAGGTTTTGTACCTTTGCTATCCATAATTCTGTGTAATTTGTTATATCCCAGTGTGTTATAAGTCTTAAGGTCTGCACATCATAGAAAACATGCACCGTTTGTCTCTCTGATCTTGGCTCAACATGGTTTATTCCAGTTCCATCCAATTCCCTGCAAATGACATTTTTTTTTCTAATGGCCATGTAAAATTCCATTGTAAATAGATGGCACATTTTTTGGATCCACTCGTGTATTGTGGGGCATCTGGCTTGTTTCCATATTTTGACTATTGTGAACAGTCCTGCAGTGAATTGAATGTGCAGGTATTCTTATCATACCCTGGCTTGTGATGTTGAGGGTAGTTGCCCATGAGTGATAGGGCTGGGTTGTAGGTAAGGTCTACGTTTAGTTTTTTGAGGAACCTCCAAACTGCTTTCCAGAGTGGTTGTACTAGATTACATTCCCACCAGCAGGAACAGTAAGATTCCTTTTTCACCACATCCCTGCCAGCATTTGTTGTTACTAGAATTCAAAATGTTGGCCAGTTGAACTAGGGTTGTTTTTTGTTTTGTTTTGATTTGATTTTCATTTCCTGTATGACCAGGGATGATAAGCATTTCCTCATGTGTTTTTTAGCCATTCTTATCTCTTCTTCTGAGAAGTCTCTTAGTTCTGTTACCCATTTAGTAACTGGTGTATTAAGTTTGGGAGGGGTTGGTTTCTTAAGCTTCTTGTATATAAGGCCTTTGTCTGTATTGCTGGTAAAGACCTTGGTTGGTTGTCTTTCTAGTTTAGTAACTATGTCCTTAGCTGTGCAGAAACTTACTTTATTTCAGTCCCACTTGTGGAATCTCTCCCATCTGTCGTGTCCCTGGGACTCTATCCATGAAGTTCCTGCCTGTGCCTATAAGTTCTTTTTTTTTGGGTCCGGTAGCGGGGCCTGAACTCTGGGCTTGGGCGCTGTCCCTCAGCTCAAGGCTAGCGTTCTACCACTTGAGCCACAGAGCTACCTCCAGCTTTTTTCTTTTTACTTATATAGTGTTGAGGAATTGAACCCAGGGCCTCAGGCATGCAAGGCAAGCGCTCTACAACTGAGCCACCTTCCCACCCAGCCCGTGTGCCTATAAGTTCTAATGTCTCTTCTCTCTTGCAGTAGCTTCAGAATTGCAGGTCTGATGTTGAGGTCTTTAATCCATTTGGAGTTGATGTTGGTGTATGGTGATAAGCAGGGATCCACTTTTCATTTTCTGTATATGGCTGTCTAGTTTTCCCAATTGAAGAGGCTATAATAGGTGGGATTAAAAATAGCCATTCTGCCAAAAATGATAACAAATTCAGTGCAATCACCATTAAAATCCCAATGACTTTATTGAGTTAAACAATACAAAAATTTATATGGAACAACGAAAGACCTATAATAGCCAAAACAATTCAAAGCAAGAAAAGCTATACATGAGGTGTCATAGTACTAGACTTTTCAAACTACTACATAGCCATAATAACAAAAACAGCTTGATATTGGCACCCAAAAAATGGCATAAAAATTGACCTGAAGACCAGTGGAACAGATTAGAAGACCCAGAAATAAAAACCACATACAGTCAACTAGTATTTGACAAAGGAGCCAAAGACTTACACAGTGGGAAAATTTTGACTATTGTTTTTACAGGTTAGTTAAATTTTTTGATTATAGTGACTGACTAGCACTAGGATACCACTGTCTACTTGGTAGTAAGTTTAGTTTGTGCCCAGTTTTGGGAATCAGGACTTAAAGATGATGCTGATGTGTAAATATATGCTAAGTATTACAAAAAGCCAGATAAACTACAAGTGTGGTAAAGAAAGATAAAATTGCTGCCTAGTTGCTGTAACACTGACATTACCTTTTAAAAGATTAGAACAGTGATTAGTAGATGTATAGAATCCAGTTATTTCTGTCTTTAACCTTTCTCTACTACATTTTCTCTATGTAAGCCCATGGGTTATTGCAATCAGGTTGTACAGAGATTTTTTTGTTGTTGTTGTTGTATTTTTAGATAGGGTCTCATCATGTAGCTTTTTGCTGCCTTTGAACTCCCTAGTTCTCCTGCCATAGACCCTCCAGTGCTGGAATTACATACTTGTTTTGCCATGTCCTACAGATTATGTAACTGCCATAGAACTTTCCATAAGTTGTTATAGCTGTCCCTGTTTACTGGTGTGCAAATATAGTCTTACTTTTCATTTTTATTATTATTTTTGCTGGTCATGGCACTTGAACTCTGGGCCTGGGCACTCTCAGCTTTTGTACTCAAGGCAATTGAGCTACAGCTCCATTTCTTTTTGTTGTTGTTGTTGTTTTGTTTGTTTTTGTTTTTGTGGTTAATTGTAGATAAGAGTGCCATGGATTTTTTTTTTTTTCTGCTCAAGCTGGCTTTGAACTGCAATCCTCAGACCTCAGCTTCTTTTTTTGGGGGGGCTGGGTCCGGTTGTGGGGCCTGGGCTCTGGGCCTGGGCTCTGTCCCTCAGCTCTTCAGCTCAAGGCTAACACTCTACCACTTGAGCCACAGCACCACTTCCGACTTTTTTTTCCTGCTTATGTGGTGCTGAGGAATCAAACCCAGGGCCTCATGCATGCAAGGCAAGCGCTCTACCATTGAGCCACCTTCCCAGCCCTGACCTCAGCTTCTTGAGTAGCTAGGATTGTATGTATGAACCACCAGTGCCCAGCTGTGATAGTTTAAAATGTAGTTAGAATGAACTGCAATATGTATACCTGTGAAAGCAGTTTCTAGGACAAATAACTGTGCAATAGAGCCTCTGGGGGGAAAAAAGTAATTTAAGATTCTAAATCCAAATTCTACTTTTGAGTAACTGCATGAGAATTTATGATGGCATCTTTAGAAACTTTTAGTAACTAAAATTCTAACCTGTGTTTGCAGGTTCGCCATGTCTCATTTGCAGATCCAATATACCAAGCAGGATTGGCAGATGATATTGATAGGAGGTCTATTGTTAGGTCTCATTCTTCAATTAGTTCTCCCACAATAAAAGGTGTTAAAACTTCACCTACTGCACAGTCTAAGGTAAGTCCTATGCTTTAAAATATGAACAATTTTGTATGTGCATAATTTAATAAAACTTTTGTTTAGATATATTCTTTGCTTCATGGTAACATATGAAGAGGTTGTAAAAGTAACTTTGTTAGGTAGGTTATTCTCTTAAGTTTTTGAAATTTTAGATTTCAGTCTTGTAAAAATTAAATTGTAAAACTATAGTTATTTAGGGTTCTGAGTGTTTTTTTCTCTCCTTCTGTCTAGCATAATACCACTTCAGCCAAAGGATTTCTGTCCCCAGGATCACGTAGCTCTAAATTTAAGAGCTCAAAGAAGTGTTTAGTAAGAAGTGCTTTGGTTTTCATGTAACTTTATATTTTCCTGTTCAATTGGGTGACTTCTGTTTAATGGCTTTTGAAATTTATTCTAAGATTACAGAAATGGTCAAAGAATCCATGCTATCCCCAACAGAAAGTGTTTACCCAGCTTTGGTGAACTGTGCAGCACCAGTGGACATCATTTTACCTCAGATTACATCAAACATATGGTAAGTGGTTATTTAAGCTTCTGGATTATATTCCAAAATACCACTTTTTTAGGAGGAATATTTGGATGGTCAGAGTTTTCATGTTTAGAAGTGATTGATATATATCCCTCCAACATTTTTGTTCCGAGAGAAAAGTTAGACAGCCACAAAGGGGAAAGAATTAGAGGCATTTATGTTAAGAAAATAAATGTTTGCTTAGTATTCACCAGGTGCTATATTCAGCCACTTTATTATATATACATTATCACGTTAAATCCTGTATCTTTTTTGAGGAACATGAACATCATTTCTACTTGTAAAATGATTTTTAGGCTCATACCTATAATCCTAGCTACTCAGGAGGCTGGGATCTAAGGATCAAGGTTCAAAGTTAAAGCCAACCTGGGCAGCAAAGTCCCATGAGCCTCTTACCTCTAATTAACCACCAGAGAACCAGAAGTGGCACTATAGCTCAAAGCAGTATTGCTCAGGGACAGCACCCTGGTTCAAGCTTCATGATAGGACCCCCCCCCCCCCCCCCAAAAAAAAAAAAAAAAAAAAAAAACAAATGTTTAGAGTCTATCAAAATTGTAAAGCTAATATGTTCATATATATATATATATGTTTTTTATTTTGTATGTATGTATTTATTTATTTTTGGGTCGGTTGTGGGGCCTGAACTCTGGGCCTGGGTGCTCTCCCTCATCTGTTCAGCTCAAGGCTAACACTCTACTACTTGAGCCATAGGGCCACATCAGGCCTTATCTGCTTATGTGGTGTTGAGGAATACAACCTAGGGCCTCATGTATGCAAGGCAAGCGCTCTACTACTGAGCCACCTTCCCAGCCCCTTATTTTGTATTTATTTTTGTGCTGTTACTGGGGCTTTGTTCTGTTCTTGTGCTCTTTGCTGGGCTTTGTCAGTCATGACTGTCAGTCTTCCACTTGAGCTTTATCTCCTGGTTTTTTGCAGGTTAGTTGGAGAGAAGACTCTCTAGGGTTTGTCTGCCTGGCTTTCAGCCATTATTTTCAAGTTACAAGTGAGGGGCTGGGAAGGTGGCTCAGTGGTAGAGTGCTTGCCTTGCATGCATGAGGCCCTGGGTTCGATTCTTCAGCACCACATAAGCAGAAAAAGAGCTGAGGGACAGTGCCCAGGCCCAGAGTTCAGGCCCACAACTGACACCCCCCCCCCCCCCCCCCCCAAAAAAAAAAAAAAAAACACCATCAAATTACAAGTGTAAACTATCAACCTCCAGCTTTGAAGATTTACAAATAATATCAGGCAGATATATCTAGATTAGGAGAGATGATAGTCCAGTGAAGGCAGGTTACTAGTAGCTCAGGATTCAGGCTACTCAGGAAGCTACTTAAGAGCCTGAGATCTGAGGGTTGTGATTTCAGAGCCAACCTGGGTAGAAAAGTCTGTGAGACTGTTACCTCCAATTAGTCACCAAAAAGCCAGAAGCAAATTGTGTCTCAAGTCATAGAGTGCTAGCCTTGAACACAAACAAAGCTCAGGGACAGCACCTAGATCTTGACCTGAGTTCAAGCCCTAGGTCTGGTGTGTATGTACATGCGTGTGCATACACACATATCCCTATCCAGTGAGGTACCTGTACATAAATTCTGTCTTCTTAGGTTACCTATTTGTGCATAAACATCATAGTTAAAGTGTATTTGCAGTGAGGGGCAGAGCTTTCCATAACCATCCCTTGGATGTAGTAATGGAGCCAGATACTGGTGGGACCTTCAGCCTTGACCTTTTGTTTTCCAGTCTGTTTCCTGCTCCAAGACTTTCCTCTTTTCTGGTTCCTCTCTAGATGTTCTCTTCACAGGCCTCTCTGGCAACTGGTTTGTATCTGGGTTTTTCACACTTTTGTAGAACTGAAGTTTCTATTTACAGATGTTTAAAGAGTTTTAAAATCATTAAGGAGAATACTCTTTGAAGTATTAAGCACACCGGATTGTTCTATTTTCAGTACTTTTTCTTAAGCTAGACATGCGTGCCAGAATTGATTTTTATTTTTATCTTTTTTGGGGGGGGGGGTGTCCGGTCGTGGGGCCTGAACTTTGGGCCTGGGCGCTGTCCCTCAGCTCAAGGCTAGCACTCTACCACTTGAGCCACAACGCCACTTCCGGCTTTTTTCTTTTTTCTTATGTGGTGCTGAGGAATTGAACCAAGGGCCTCAGGCATGCAAGGCAAGCGCTCTACCACTGAGCCACCTCCCAACTCCTAATTTTTATTTTTAATGGAACTACGTATGTGCTTGCCTTGCTTGGCAAGGCAGGCTCTGTAAATAAGCTTATTTATAGATTATTGCTTAGTCTAAATGGAAAATTGCAGCTGTCTACAGCTTTTTTTTTGTCAGTTATGTGGCTTGAACTCTGTGCCTGAGCGCTGTCCCTCAGTTCTTCAGTTCAAGGCGAGTGCTCTACCACTTGAGCTACAGCACCACTTCTGGTTTTCTCAGTGTTTATTGGAGATAAGAGATAAGGACTTTCCTGTCTGGGCTGGCTTTGAATTGTAATCCTCAGATCTCAGCCTCCTGAGTAGCTAGGATTACAGGCATGAGCCACCGCCGCCTGGCTTTTTAGAATAAAGACAAAACTACATTTTTCATTTTTTCGCTTTCAGGGCTAGAGGCCTAGGACAACTTATCAGAGCCAAGAATATAAAAACAATCGGTGATTTGAGTACTCTCACGGCATCTGAAATAAAAGCTCTTCCTATCCGTTCCCCGAAGGTGATCAATGTAAAGAAGGCTCTCAGAGTTTATCATGAGCAACAGGTAATAACTTGGATGTTACTAAATACTTGAATCATGTAAAAAAAATAAAAACTACGAAAGTTGCTATATAAACTATTGCTTAAAATCCTAGCTTATGTTTTCTCCACCTCCATAAAAAATAAGTTACAAAAGAATAATTCATTCCACAGAGAAGCTTGGCATGTGTCTCAGTCTCTTGGCCAAATGCCTGGTCCATGCCTGAAATCCTTATTACTCAGGAGTCAGAGATCTTAGGATTGTAGTGTGAAGACAGTCAGGAACATCAGTTAAACCAGCAAAAAATCAGTAATGGAGGTGTAGCTAAAGGTAGAGCACCAGCCTTGATTGGCGGTGGGGGGGTGTAGGAGCTGAGGGATATTGCCCACCACCCTGAATTCAAGCTCCAGTACTGAGACAAATACATTATTGAATTCCATGATTTCATAAAAGCTTAGATAATAGATGTTCAAATGAAAAATACGTACATATTATGTGTTAACCTATATTTTAGATAACATGTTGCAAACATATGTAACAAGTGTTGCATAAACACTGTGTTGTAAAACATACTCTCTCCCCCCCCCCCCCCCCCCCCCCCCTTAAATCCTGGAGCTTAAACTCAGGGCCTGGGTGCTGTCCCTGAGCTGCTTTTGCTTAAGACTAGTATTCCACCAGTTTAGTCATAGCTCTACTTCTGGTAATTCTTTTTTTATTTATTTTTTATTTATGTACATTGTTACAGGTAATTTTTCCAAATGTCACAGTAATACAATAATAATAATGAAAGCACAATATTTCTTCTTGTAAGATGCTTATTGAAACTTGTGTATTTGTAATATTTATTTTAATCTTCACTACTGCTGTGATTTAAGTATTTCATTACCCCCACTTTATTAGTGAGCAAATTAAGGCTTTTAGAATTTATTTTCCAAATTTACACAACTAAGTCTAGGTTTCTGGAAAGTCTGTGGTGGTAATTTTTTTGTTTATCCATACTCTTAGTTTACTTAGTTTACTGAAACATTCTGTGGAAATGTCATTAAAGAAAGCATCATAGTCCTTGCAGCTACTCTTTAAAGAGTTTCATCTCAGACGACATACTAGTGCAGCAAATTGGTAATTCATTGGTGATGCGAGTCTCATGGACTTTTCATGTCCTGGCTGGCGTCTTAACAGTGATCCCCAGATCTCTGCCTCCTTAGTAGCTAGCATTATAGTCATGAGTCACTGGCACCCATTGTGATTTATTTTTTATCCCTGTCTACATTTTGCCCATAAGCATCTTTTGGTCATTGAAGGTTTTAACATTTTAATGGTAACTTAAGATTCTTTTTTTTTTTTTGGGTCCGGTCGTGGGGCCTGCACTCTGGGCTTGGGCGCTGTCCCTCAGCTCTTCAGCTCAAGGCTAGCACTCTACCACTTGAGCCAGAGCACCACTTCCGGCTTTTTTCTTTTTGCTTATGTGGTGCTGAGGAATCGAACCCAGGGCCTCAGGCACGCAAGGCAAGCGCTCTACCACTGAGCCACCTTCCCAGCCCGGTAACTTAAGATTCTTAACCATACAGAAAAAAATTATGTATACTTTCAGTTTTAAGGGGCTCCCTAAACCCACTTAAATCTTTAGTCCATTGACAGAGTTAGAAGGTTTTTCATGAGTGTTAGTTTTCATTAGTGGTCCATAGCCTAGAGAGTAATCAGAAATTATATTCTGTTTTTGACAATGGCAAAGTAGAACTCAGGCCTCATGAATGTTGATTACCTGCTGTACCACTAACCTTACATTTATTATACAAGGTGAAATTTTAGTCCAACTTTTCCATGGATGTTTAAAATGTATTCCAATCAATCTCACTCCCCGTGTGAAAATTACGTTCTTTTCAGAAGAATATATTAACAATATCTGATGAGATTTTCCCCCACATTCCTGAACTGGGAAATAAAATTCTTTCAGCTACCAGTACTCTTTTCTTAAGTAATATTGAAAATTGTGACTTGAACGAATCGTTTGAGAAGCTGTTTTGTTGTGTGGATAACTGGAATGTGATTTCTTAGCAATGCTTGTTATGTCTTGACATATTTCATATACCTATCTTCCTTTTGCATGTTTGTGCCATGCTTACTATTAAAAACAAGCTTTGATTTGTGTTTTGAATGTATAATCAAGGTGAAGTCTCGTGGACTTGAAGAGATTCCAGTTTTTGACCTTTCTGACAAGGCAGTAAATGGGATAGAAAATAAATCTCTCTCAACTGATGAAGAAAAACTAGCCTCAGGTATATTTTAGCATAGTCAATTCTACTTAAAAGGTGAACTAACTTTTCTTGAGAACGTGTTATGCATTTAATTTTAATTTAATTTGAACATGACAAATTTCACGTTTCAGTGTGTTTTACTTTGTCCTCAGTGCCAGGTGTAGGAAAATTTATAGTTATTTCTAGTGTTCCCTTAGCAGTTTCTAGTTCATCATGGGATCCATTTCATTTCAGTTACGTTAACAAAAATTAATATTGTCCACTTATGCCAACTATAGTAAGCTATGGCACATTTTTGGACATCTTGTTCACTTGGACTGGTATATATACCTCATTTTGCATTTCTCAGTTTGAAATCTAAACATAATTTTTCGTCTTCTGTTTGGAGATAATATACAATGTAAATTTTAGTTGGCATATACCTTATTTGTTTTTATTTCTCCCTTTCCCTCAGATTTGCTTGATCCTGTACCTTTAGAAACTCCATTATCTAAAAATCTTATGGCACAAATTAGTGCTCTTGCTCTTCAACTGAATTCAGAAGATCTCCACAGTTATTCAGGAAGTCAGCTATTTGAAATGCATGAGAAACTTGGTACTATGGCAAACTTGATAATAAGAAATCTACAATCACGTTGGAAATCATCAGCTAATGAAAATTCTATTTAATATTATGTAAGAAAATTGAAGTTTTAAAAATATCACTGAATTTTTTAGTTACTGAAATAAAATTCTTAAATACTGTTACTTTAGAAGAAGGTTCTACAAAGTTGGTAACATTTTAAACCCTGCAGGGCAATGACGTACGTACCATTATGTGAGTTTTATCAGTTTGGTAGATACGATACCCCTGATCACATGCTTTCTTGGCCACTTTGTTTTTTCAAGAAATTTAAGTGTCATGACAAGATTTTGAAAGCAATTTATTTCACACATACTTAAAAATTCCTCTTTTAGTGAAATGTGATATTGGAGTATTTTATTTGGGTTTTACTGAAGTGATAAAGGGGTTTAAACATTTTCAAAAGTGACTCATCCTTGTGCTTGGGTTTAAGTAGTTTTTTTTTGCTACTTTGGAACTTTCTCCCACAGATTTCACCTTTGGATATTGAAATAAATACCAAAGGCTGAGCCTTTTGGTGGTTAAAAATACTATCACAGATTTTACTAATACTCCCTCTATTTGCATTAGCAAATGTTTGGGCAGTAGCATCTGCCTTTGAAAATTTGCTTTGATGGCACATGGTATATAGAAAATTTATTCTTATGAGGAGCATGACCCTTTGTATATTATGTACAGATGACATTGTTTTAATTTATAAAGTTTAGCTTTCATCTACAGTGTGAGTTTTTCTGCAGCTTCTTGTGAATACCTTGATTCTGTGTAATAGCAACATTTTGTATATAATACTGAAATGCCAGTATGGAGAGTGCTTCATGGGCTTGCTGCAGAAATGTATAGGATTCTGTATGTACAAATAATGAGCAAATAGGATTGTACTTAGTTAAAACATGAGTTTATCTGACTGTTCAAAATGGGTAAGATTATTGGAATGAGAAAATTGTTTCACAGCAGCTTTGCTATTCGTGCCCTTACCTTTTTTTTCTTTTGGTTTGGAAAAGGATGCCAGCCATTAGAAAGTGTGCCTCATTACATTTCTTCTTAATGGAGAGTTAGTCTGGATATTTTATTACAAGTTGTATTATAAGAAGTCTAGAGATTATCTGTTATTCGTAATTACACCTAAAAGTTAACTTGAAAGAAATTTGAAACATATATATAAAATATGTATATTATATATATGTTTTGCTCTGGTTTAAAACTAATAGGCTATATAATTAAAATGTGTAAAATTTACATAAGTATTTAGTGCCTGACTTCCTGTATTTTTAAATGAGAATATATCCAGCTTGTTTCAATAGATAAGTGATGCTAGTTTCACACTTAACTTAAACCCTACTTTGAACAATATACTTCTTCATCAAGTCAGAAATTTTAATCATGTCTAGTTTAAGGTCTCCTTTATTTGGCAAGTTAGATACCTCCTGCCAGCCTTGAAGAAAGTTGGTATCTTTTTCATAATCCATCATCATGTATATTTCTGGATATAAATGTGATATTTATATACCAAGAGTGGTCTTAAAAAGGAGTTCTGGGATTGTTGAATCAAGAATGTACTTTGAAGGCATAACCAATAAAGAAAAAAAAGCTACTGGTTTTTCAAAACAATTCTCATTGTGGTTTATATTGTCCATTTAACTGCCATGTTCATCTGACTCAACATGATCATTTAACGAGTAAGAATGATGAAGATAGTGGGTAAGCCTGTCTGTGAAAGTTAGCAGATGACTATAGTATCTGCAGTTCAGTGTCAAAATTTGTTCATTTCATGACTGCGTGCCTTTTAAAACATCTTCTATGAGTTGTTTTAACTTGCTATCAGAATGAGGTCTCTAGGGAGCAGAACCGTGCAACAGGAAATATAACCAAAATGATTACTATTCACTTAAATAACTGATTTATTATTAAGACAAATTGTGTGGTTCTGTGAGGTTGTATTTAAAAATGCTATTTTGGGGTAAATGTTAGCTTGTTAAAAAAATACTGCTTTAATGATGTAAGCTTAGTCACTTTCGAATACTTTTGCCTTGAAACTTCTTTAGATTCCTCTGTGAATGATACCCAGAATACTAGAAATGCATTAATACTTCTTGATTTGTTTTCAGTATGTTTGGGTTTTACTAGTAAAAAGGGGTCTTTTTTCCAGATCTTTTCTATGGTAAATAAAACAAGTAAGAATTACTAATACTCAGGCATGGTTGGTTACTGGTTTGGAGTTCCAAAATAATTTACTGTTGTGGTAGGAAGACCCTTACTCAGGCAGGCAAGCCTACCTAGTCGTCCGGAGTGACAGAGCCCACCGCAACAAAGTTGTTAATAAGGAAGCAACTTTATCGAGAAGGTTCCTACACTGACCGCCCAGGGCCACAGCACAGGCTTGGGAGCTGATACTGCGACCCTAAGCAGCCCCCATTCTTTGGTTTTTAAAGGCAAACCCATGAGTTTGAGCCTTGTCACACACAGGTGATCAATGGGATCATAACACATACAAAGGATTGTAGGGTCATACCAGACCACACACACACAGGTGGCCAATAGGCAGAGTTTACTGTAAACACGTGGTGTCACCAGTTCGAGCCAGATTACAACCTGTTTTATGGTTCAGTCCTTAACAATCAAGGGTTAGGTTGTTAAGGGGAGGGGGACCTAGAGGCATTCTTCCCATTCCAAGAACTGGGCTGGTTGGAGCCAAGGTCGAGTTAAAATCCCTAAAACAAAGGCAAAGCCTGGAAAGAAGCTGTACCAGCTCGAGTCTCCTCTCAGCGCCGACTTCACTCCCCCCTTTGGCTTGTTCCTGAGTCGAATCATTGACTCAGTTTTTCTATTGGGATGAAACCGTATTGAGTTCTCATTACCATTAATTTTACAGCTCCAATCCTCTTGTATGAATGACATTAATGCATTAATTACACAAGGGCCAGTTTATAGCATCAGGAGGATAAGAAGGTGGGCAGCAATAGCTGAAATCAAGGTCATCATCCATGGAGACCAACAGTTAATGTCAGAAGCAAGAGTAGAAGTATGCCAGCCAGGGCAGTTATTAGGGTTATCGCCCCTGGGGACCATGAGAAGAGAGGCTGATAACATGACTCAGTCCCTCAGACTCTTCTAACTGAGGCCAAACTTTCCCTAATACAAAGGCTACCTTGTTTCATGAGAAGTCAATCCCCAGCGATTTCAGAGAACTACCTCTACCAAAGAGTCTACCTGGCGGGCTCTAACTAAACCAGCATCTAGATTGCAGTAGGCATATAGATAAGACATAAAGAAGGTTCCACAGTGCACCAATACTGATTTCATTTATAGCATAGCTAACTTAGTTTTATACCAGCTTTACTCATGCAAGGCAAGCGCTCTACCACTGAGCCACCTTCCAAGCCCCACCAGCTTTACTCATAAGCTCCAATTTTAAGACACTCATACCATTTGCTCCATACTTAAACTTACAAACATTTTAAGACAATCCTTACTTTTTAAGCCCTTTTTTATCCAGACCATTCCCCCCCCCAATTCCTCTCCCAAGGCTTTCTTTACTACCCTCTTTCTTTACAATTCCTTAAGCTTCTTTGTGGCTAGAGTTTAAAACTGCCCAATTTTTCCTGTGACTTGTAGGACCAAGTTATCTCAGAACAGCCTCAAGGCAACACAGGTGGAGAAGCTTGCTGGATTTTAAGGCTAAGGGCAGGGCTGGGTCCCATTCCTTTTACTACTTGCATTGATAGCACACACTCAGTTGGAGGTGTTATACCGGAATTCGGGGACCCCCCAGAAGAGCACCAGAGACCACGATCAATGTAAGCAACAAAGAGCCGGTTTATTGCAAGCTTGAGCTTGGTCCTCCGTGCACACGGTAACCGATGACGCAAAGAGGCCCTGAGCGTAGAATCAGCAGTTTTTATAGTATTGAACAAACAGCTTTTACATAAGAAATTACATGATTGGTTAACATTTAAAGCAAGCTAAGCTGGGCAAATATGATTGGTTGACCTTTACAGAAAAATGTCCTTGGGGCTGAGAAGGTGGCTCAGTGGTAAGAGTGCTTGTCTTGCATGCATGAGGCCCTGGGTTCGATTCCTCAGCACCACATAAGCAGGGGAAAAAAAAGCCGGAAGTGGTGTTATGGCTCAAGTGGTAGAGTGCTAGCCTTGAACTGAAGAGCTGAGGGACAGCGCCCAGGCCGAGCTCAGGCTCCACAACTGGACCCCAAAAAAAGAAGAAAAATGTCCTTGGTCTATAGCTTGACTGAAAACGGTTGAGTCACACCTGGACCAACAAAGAACTGGTTGGTCAGAAACTCAGTCCTAGGTGGCTGGGGGGGCAACACCATTTGGGGGCTAACACCTGCCTTAAGCAAACGCCATCTATGGCTCCAAGATTGTGCATGGCTTTCTGTCATAAATTCCTAGCATTGGGGCTAAAGTGGATCACGAGTCAAGTCGCAGAACTGAGATGGAGTGTTAAACAAAAATGGAGTTGCTTAGGTTTCTCAAAACATTTCTTCCCTAGCGCCTTACTGCCCGGCCACCAGGAAGGGCGTTGCAGCTGTGGGGATGATTCTGAGGACTTTGCGCCCTTGGTCAAGGCTGTAAAGCCTTTGAAGTCTTTTACTAAGCAACTCTAGGCTCCCAGGCTGACATTCCACTACTGAGTAACTAAAACAAGTCACAGTTAAAATCATACAAAAACCATAAAATCATCTAGCACAAAGCAATTCGTACAGAAGCAAAAATGAGCAGTTAGTAAATCATAACTTCTAATTTCTATTACATTAAGCATTAATGTTACTCCATGCCTTTTAATAAATTCATTCAGGGGGTGCTTGCCTACTTTGATGAGGGCAGTCCAGTTTTCTGCCTCTTTCACTACACTCAAAGTTTTAGCAGAGTTTTTAGCAAGCAAAGGTACAGAAGCGAAAAGGTACAGAAATGCTCTCTCTCTCTCTCTCTATATATATATATATAATTTTACGTTCTTCAGAAGCAGGTTATTACCATACCAGAGCCAAACTAGGCTGTGACCCTGAAGTACCTAAAGCAGGCCAGTGATACCCAGTGATACCCCAATATCCACTGTGGGAGTAAAGAGGGTTACTGGATATCACTAAAAGAATGTCCCCCAAGATCTTAGTTTTAGCAGCTTTCAACCAGGAAGCAGTCTCAGGTGATGGGATCAGGCGGTTCAGTCTACTCTTAACCACGGTGGAGGTAGTCTGGGTGGAGATGGTCTGAGTGACGATGTAGATTTCCTCCAGGTGACTGTCAGGCTGTTGTTGAACTTTACTCATTAGGGTGTGCAGCAGCAGCAGCAGGGTCTCTCAGTGGCTCCAAGGGACTGTCACACGTTGTGCTGGGCTGCAAATTCCTACACAGACTGGTTAAGGATACATTGCATAGGTTTGGCAGGCTGTGGCTCCGTTGGTTTTTAAGACTGTTTAGACAATAGCCCAGGACAATTTACCAAAATGACAACTTTTTTACTAACCAGATATTTTTGTAAACAGACATAGAAGGCTTAGTCTTGTAACCATCTCCGACAGATGCAGTCTCCACACTTGCACACCTGTTAACACTATTCTTTATGCCTTTTTAAAAAGAAATTATTTTATCTATTTTGCCTCATTTCTCCAAAACTGACTCTGGACCCTTGATTTTAAAAGGGGGTTGATGGGCGAAGGTCCATCTTCTGTAAGTTCTTCAAGCTGACTTCAGGGGCGTTGATCCTACCTAGCCAGGAACCTATAACCTTAGCCTATTTTACAAAGAGGCTATCAAGGTTAGATGTCATTAAGAACAATATTTTGACAACTGCACAGACCTTTCCTCCAGCTACAGTAGTGTAGCTTGTTTAACACTCTGGTTTGCAAAAGCATCTTTCTGGATGGCTTAGGAATGTGATCTCTAGTGACCCTAACAATGCCTAAGTTACCTTTGCAGGCCTTAAGACAGATGTCAATAGAAACACATTCTCAGGTTTACAAACTTTCCTGAGCAGATGAATTTCATGTAGCTGGTGTCAGCTCAAAAGTTAACTGCCAATTAGAGCTTTTGACACATATAGGGGTTGAGATTTAAACCATCTCCCACATTTTATAACTGGCTTTTTACTACTACCACAGAAATGGCAAGTTCCTGTCCCTTACAAGGTAGATAGTTATGGACATAAGGCATGCTTACAAACTATCTTCCCATGACCTCCTGGCTCTGACCAATTTTTGAAGGGCCACACACAAATGACTCTAAGATTTGACATTATTTCTGCCATCTAAGCAGTGGCTTACTGCTTCTGGATGCTCCTCCATTGCTCTTGTCCCAGGAGTGTCTTCTCCACACTGGGATAAATCCCTCATTGGCATTTCCCTTAGCTGGTAGCTGGACTTGAACTTGGGGCCTGAGTGCTGTCTCTCAGCTCTCCAGCTCAAGGCTAGCACTCTGCCACTTTGAGTCCCAAAGCAACTCTGCTCACTCTTTCAGCACTCTGCTGGCTGATTAGAGGTGACAGACTCACAGGGACCTTTTTCTGCCCGGGCTGGCTTTGAACCAGTTTGCAGATCAATGAGTCTCATAAAAGGCCACTTTACTCCAATTAAAAGCAACAAGGTGGTCAACATAGA